AACATACAACTAACAAACTTAGTTTAAAATATAAATAATTTGAGCGTCACCGGTTTTCACTAAAATGAACGTCCATCATTTTTTTCACCAAACATGTCCCTTGTCATTTTCCATCGAAACCCCTTTCTATCAAAATTAACGATATCAAAAAAGATATCGATCGACTTCCATCAAAGTACACCGACGCAAAAAGTAATTTTAATAACAAAAATTAAACGATAAAAAAACAAGCAATACAATATGTATATAATACTAGTTGTCTCGTCCTCCGTAGCCCGTGTCAAAAGAAATTATTATTATACTTGTTATTGCCAAAGATTCTCGCACAGCATAGGGATTGTACTAAACAAATTAATGAAAAATGTTTTCTTTCATCCATGTTACTAAGGTAACCCACATAAATCAACAAAAAATGATTACATTTTACAAGTAAAATACCAAAAAACAGAATTGTAGGGGATTCAATACGGGATGGATTTCAATGGCTATTAACCTCGTCCGGACAACGTAAAACGTTTCGTAAAAAGTGATAAACTGATATCCTATACCAAAATGATTGCCTTTTTTCTATACGATGGTATAGCAATTGTTTTGGAGCAAATTGGTCAGTGTCACTTTTGGTGAAAACGTGTGTCGATGAAAAAGATAGAGGCTCATTTTGGTAGAAACAACGGGAAAAAGGCAAGGGGTACGTTTGGTGGAAACCTTTACCTAACTTACATGGAGGATACAGGAAAAAAAAACCAAAAAAGTCAAATTTTTTTTTCGAAAATGATGATATTGGTATTAAACAGTCTGTATTAACGTGCTGTATCTTTTATACAATCGAACCAGCGAAAAATCAGATTAGTCGAAAACAATGAGCGCCAGAATTTTAGGCCTTCAGGAAAAAACCACGTAAGTCAAGTGATTGACCAGACAAGTGTTGGGTTAATATACGGCTATAGAATTGTTCACCACGCTACTGCAATTATAGTTTCTTAGCGTGCGATAGAAATAAAATAGAAGAAGTTCTAAGAGCCTATTATCAAACGCACCCGCAGAATAAAAACCCTACCCGGGATAAAACGGGAAAACGTTTTATTCTAGAAATATTTTATATTGTTATGGTAAAATGGTATGCCATTATGCGTTATAAAAGTACATAAAGTACATACATATTCCTATCTATTGCAGACGTTATAAAATATCGACCCCGTCACCTGAGAATGAAAAGGTTATATTTTTTGACTTTACGTAAAAGTCAGAGTATGAATTTTTAAATTGTAAAATGATTTTTGTCCAGACAATAATTTTAAAACAACAACCTAGAACCTTTAAATTTTCAGATGACGAATATTATTCTACAGAATACGGAACAATTCGAAGAAAAAATCCGTAAGTATTACAATTATAGTGAGGTGTTCGTGCCTCTATAAAACAATTTTAAAGAAATATTTAATACGATGCAAAAAAGCACCAAAAATCCTAAAAAAATCAACTAAACTATTTTCAAAAACAATTAATATTAGACGTAAATAGTTTTATTTTATTTGTGTTATTTTAATGTATGATTATTGCTAAAATAAATATAAATACAAATGAAAAAAAAAAAATGTAAAAATATTTAAACATTTGACGGGGACAGCCATTTGATAGCTTTTAGATAGCTAGATAGCTTAGATATTAGTCTAAAAATAATGAAAAAAATTAAAACTAAAAAACAACCAAAATTTCTAAAAAAAATAGTTAAAAAATTAATAACAAAAAACTAAGATAAAATTTCAAGCATTTCATTGGACAAGTAGTGCATCGAATTAATAGTAGTAGCCATGTAAAGCGGTGTAAATTAGTAAATCACAAATGTGTGAGCCACTGTAAGTGAGAAATTGGGAAGGTATAGTATTAATATCGGTTATACGTGTTTTGAAAGTTCGTAATATTTACGATTTGAAAATAATACATTTCGTCAATAATATTGTTCCGGTTCTCCTATGTTTTTTCGCGGTTTTTCCCATTTATAATGAAAATTCCTGGAAAAATAAAAAAAAATGACCCATTTTAAGTACCGCCACAGTTAGATTTGCTTTCGGAAAAAGTGTCTCACTTAAAAATTGGAGTATTGTTTCTGGTAAAAAAAGTTTTTCACAGGTAAAGAAAATAAAAACAAAAATCATTGTAAAATCAATAAATTCCTCGCTCCGCTCGGAATCTGAAAAATAGCGTGTCGGATTTATAATTTACATTGTTCCGTTTTAGACCGATAAAGAAAAACAAATCGAACGTTTTTAAAGTCCTAACTTTAATCGACAACGAATAACTATGATTGTATACGATGGAAATGAAAAAAATGGGGGAAAAAAAGAAATAAGTGTGGGTTTATGAATATTTACGGATAAGGCCAGAATATCACGCGACTGTTCAGAGGCAAATCGCGAATAGGTCGTGTGGCGACGTTGAACCCGAGACACTGGTATGATATTATGATATTATTATAATGTCAGTGATACTACGGTGCTTGCGTGTGTGTCATTCCTGCCGCGCGTTCTCGAGAGCCGTCTTCGGCCGCGTAGAGCGGCGGGAGTAGGGAGCTCGTATTATTTTGTGTGTAGCGTGATTCGTGCGGCGTTTAAATAAAAAAATAAAAATACAAAATTTTTTTAAAACAAACGCAAGACCCCCGGACTCGCGATAGACGTGTCGGACTGAAAATAATTCAAATCCGTGTCGTTATCGCGCGTGCGTAAATTTATCCGTTAAATTCGTTTTCAATGATATATTTGTTCGTGGAAAACACAAAAAGGTGTCTGTGTAATACACAGGTAGTACGGACTAAGAAGATATGTAGGGTCAGGGAGAAAACCATTTGTGTCATTTTTTTTTTTTTTCCAAAATTGAGATATTGGTATTAAACAATTTACATTCTTCATGTAGGTACCGTATCTTTATTGCGTTCGAGTCGTCGAAAAAACCAGATTAGCTGAAAGTAATGAGCGCCAAAAGTTTAGGCTCACAGGAAAAAAAAAAACACACGAGTGAAGTGATTGACAAGTGTTGGGTTAATATACGACTGCAGCCGTGGATAATAATATAATATGGCATTGTTGTGTTGTAGTTACTACATTTCAAAATTTAATATTTAATTTAATCCAACATTTTTTTACTATGTAAAAAAAAAAAAGGAAGAAAATTGTTAAGTTTTTAAATTAAAAACATATTTTTCTCGGATGGAAAACAAAGTGTCTTTTTTGGTTTTTTCCACTGGACACACATGATCATAACCCGATCAGGAAATATATAGGGCACTATAAGGTACTAAATCTCGTGATTTTAACTCGCTCTAGAATTGAATCAAAATTCATCATGTTTTAGCCGTGTACCTATACCAATTATACTCGTATATAAACCAAAATAATCTGAATACACAACAGGACAAAACTACACAACAATTTAAGAACATTATATTTCGTGAATTACGTGTTTTTTTTTTTCGGTGCGGTTACGGAATAATGAAGCACTAATCTAGTTATTAATTAAAAAATTACCTTACAATATTGATCATAAAGAAAAATATTATTTGTTAGTTTTTAGACGAATCCGTTAAGCACCGGCACTTTCTAACCGTGCCTTCACGTGACAAATACTCTACAAAGCGTTTACGAATCGTTAAAGATTTTTTACGATTTATTGTGATAATTTATACGAAATCAGCTGCTTAACGCAGTCGTTCGTACGATGTCGTGGTCTTTTTGAGTGGTATATTTCCTCTCGGGTGTTCTCTACTGTGTAATTTTCCCGAAGATATAGAGTCCGATGACGATAAAATCCAAATCAGTGACACACATGCGGGGATTCAGGGGTTCACACAATACTCTTAATCTTACCTAAAGGTAAAAAAAAAGCAATGGGAGGGGGGGGGGGGGGTTAAAATTTAGGACGATAAATTTTTTTTTTTTTTAAATCAATATTAGATTTGTAACCCGCATTTGGATATTAGGTTCGTGTATTATATCCGTCTCCCGCACGTCATTTCGCATTTCACGTATGCGCGTTCGAAAAGTTTCGGGTTTGTTTTTGGTGGACACAATCTCACGCGTTATAATTTTTTCTATTTTTCGTCTTCCACGGTTTCGGAAAAAATTACCCCTACACCGCGGTTACCGGATTTACGACCGCGAGCAGTACGGCGGCGACGGTCCGTTGAGTAATCTCCGTCACGTTCGGCCGGCCACGTACGCCGCACCCCGGTACCGCGGACGGATCCGCAGTCTCCCGTGGCCGCCGTCGCTCCGAAGCCGTTCCGGTGCGCCGGGGGCGGCCGCCCGTACGAAACGTTATACACGTCAGTACGGTAAGTATAGTTTATAATCATTTTTTTTTTTTTTTTTATTGTCGGCTCAGAAAAGCCGTACGGTCGCCAACATGCATTGTCCGGTAAAACATACCCACGCGCAAAAACGTAAAATATTATTGCGATTGTAGTGCCCGCATTCGTTATCGTACGTTGGCAATCGTGTTAGCGATATTTGCATTTTATTAATGGCAGCTCTGAACAGCGAATTTCGTAGACGTGTTGACGCACGTCCTTCTGGGATTGTCCGTCCGAGACATTTTTAGATCGTCCTTGCGGATACATATTGTAGCACGTGTAGATTTGTCGGGTGTCGCGTAACATTCCCGGGACATTGAAGCTTTGGGCCTGGCGCGGTTTTTACTATTTCGAGATTGGTTTGCTACGCGATACGCCGACTCGCGTTTTATGCGGAGGACCCGGCCAATTTTTAATATTTCGATGCGCGTCCGTCCACACGCGTCATCTTCTGGTAACGTCCGGATCGGATCGGTCGAAACTCCGAGTCTTTACCCCACGACGACATAGTACAGTGTACGATATAGTATAGTTTGTATAGCGACGGCCCATTCGCATTCGGACATCGTAACCTTGTGACAAGACGGCGCTTCGGCCCGACTGTAAAAAAAACCGGCCAAACGCATGGCCGTGCGTAGCGTACAAAACGGCCATGCGTTTGGATGGGGCCGGGGCCATCTCGGAGCGCACGCCAATTTCGGCCGGTCACTGTTTCGGAAGTCCGGCGGCGCCAATGCCGCCGTTGCTTTTTCCGCGCGGCATTCTCGAGAACGGTCCCCCGGCAGCTGCCGTCCGGCGCGCGTGTTGTTGTTACGGGAAAATGCCCGGCGATACCGTATCGCCCGCGTCTTACGGGCGCCCGGTCCGCCGGACGTGCGCGGTACAACGCGGCGGACGCGAGTCAGAGCCGCCGGTGCGGGTATCGTAATACGCCTAGCCGCACAGTAACCACCTATAGTACCTAGCCCGCCTATCTAATATTATAATACCGCTGCCGCGGTATATACCGGTCGCCGCCGCCGCCGCCGCCGCCGCCGCGCGTTCGGCGAGAGCGCGTACGTATGTGTTGTTGGTTACGTCGACGTCGCGTATACCGTCGCCCCACCACGGCCGGACGGGTTACGTTTTCGTTGTGTGCATATAGTTTTGTGTTTTGTAGTGTTTTTTTTTTTATTTACCACCACCGCCGCCGCCGTAACGGAGAGAGAGCTTGCTGGCCTACTCTGCCGTAACCGCACCGTCGCGTCGTTTGCCACCAGCAGTGTAGTCGTGTACCGCAGCGACGCGTACAATACACACCGCGGCCCCGGCAGTAAGTTATTAAAAACGCGCGCGCGTACGTGTACGTCGTGCAGTGTCCGTCGGTCCGGTCCGGTACAATAACAATAACAATATCGCCACACTCGCGCGCACGTCCGCCGTGCGGTTTTACCACAACAAAAACGTCGCCGTCCGCGAATCGTCACGTACCTATAATATACACGCACAGCAGTACCGCCGCTGCGCCTTTGGCCGGATAAAAGACTCGCGGGAAAAAAGTTTACATAAAAAAAAAAATATGTGCACAAGTATTGTGTCACCTCTAGTCTAGCGAACGCAATTCGGGTGTTAGGTGCGCGAGTGGCGAGGATTATCGCGCGCGCGCGCGCACCCGCGTACAATAGTTCCGCGGATATATTATACGTGTCGTCGCTGGAATTTCACTCTCCGCCGTCGGTAAGTCGTACAATAATATTATGTTTTTGATTGTAGGTACAACAATGTTTACGTTGATAACAAGCTCTTCGGACGTCTGCGCGGTTTTGTTTCATCGGTTTTCGTAGAAACCCGCGTCATTTTCGAATTTCTGCGACCGCCCCGCAAAAACGTTGCGCCCGTGCGTGCGAACGGTCGCGCGGGAACGTCGCCGTACAGGTAACGCGTCCTTCGCGTCGACGGCGACGGCGGCGGTTTCCTTCCTATAGTAATAATATGCACTGGCAACTCTGCAGCAGTAATATCGATTGCGTCAAAAATACTAATCGTGAAATACCCTACCTACGGTGTCTACCTACGCACGCGGTCGTCGTCGCCTAGTCACTTTTTCCGAAAAGAAAAAAAAAATTACCACGCACTTGACCCTGTCGCCACTGCGGGTAATCGTAGCACGGCCGCCGCCGTTATGTTTCGCAACGCGCATAAGTAATAATAACGTATAATATTATTCAATTAAATATTATACATATACATAAATACTGCCACCTGCTGCTGCTGCTGCAGGTTCTCTCTTGTATTATACGCCGGCAGTCTCGGGTCAGTGCATGTGTGTGCTGCAGCGCGCGCGCGTGCCCAAACGACGTGTGCGCTATTCGACTGTTGGGAAAATAATATAGAGGAAAAAATTACCTACTGAAAAACAAAACAAAAAACTCGCCGTCACACCTGTAAAATACACCGTGACCGTCGCGGATCTCTTCCGAACGGGCGCATACGTCATACATGTATTTCGTCCGCTTTTTTACCATACACAATACGTAGGTGCACATGTTAAAAGCATTATATACGCACATTAAAGCACTCGTTCTTCTCCGTCGACGGCTTTAGACCCGACGAGTTATACTATTTCTTCTAGCTAACGCCTCTCGTCCTGTTCGGGGCATCCGTTTGTGATGAAGAATATACACTCCGTGTCCACTCCCACCGCCAACATCCTTAAATGCTCCGCGAGTAGATAGACCGAGTTTTCCCCTTAACTTTTGGCCTTTACCCTACAATTATCCCTCAGTAAGGTCTACATAAAAAAAAATAACGTGTTACAAAATCTATACTAATTCGATCCCGTTAATTTTCTAGTGAGACGCACAGTAAGTCCAAAATCTTACTCTACTGAATGTCCATTCGGACCTTTTCATAAATACTCTATTCCTGTCTATGATCCAATATTTGATCCATTAGTATATTTATTTTCACTTAACTCGGTATCCCACGTCGTCTACACCCCCTCCCCAGCAGTCTTCGTATAACACTTGTGGTACATAATATTATCGTATCTAAACATCTCCTTTTCGGTTTTCTTCCTTTCCTCCTTTCTTCCACGTTCGTACGTAAATGTATACTCTTACAGCCTCTGAATTCGTATTTTTTGATCATCACGTAATGCTCGAACCACTTTTCCTTCTATATTCCCCATTCATTTTAACTATCGAACAACGCCCATGTTAGTGGCGGAGCCGTACTTTATTCAAGAATCGTTCCAAAGACTTATAAATTATTAAAAAATCGTTTTATATTAATAAAACGATTTTCACGGTAGGGTTCAACACCGGAACTCCCCCCCCTCTAGCTACAGTATTACCCTATGTTACCGCACACAAAGTTATTCCTTATTCCATCCTCACCTCCTCTTTCCATCCTTAGCAACTTCACTAAAATATCTTTTGGTTTGGATCTCAGAATCTGGATTAAGTTATTGCGATTCGGATTCTGAACAATTGGTCAAAGTATTGCTCAGCCCTAGTTCCAATGACATAAAATCTGATTAAAACAATTTAAAATTTAAACAAAGATATTAGTATCGGGAAACCACGATGAGACATCTTGAATTTTTTTTGAATACTCGTATTCCGAAAAAAAAAAAGAAAATAAAAACAATAGACGTCCAGTGACAACTCGCGTAGCTAGTGCGGCCAATTTACTTTTATCCGTCACAATATTGCATTATCATTTTCGCTTATTTTTTTTTTTCGCGCTTGAAGTCATACTCTTTTCGTACCTTCACACTACGAGTACATATAGAGAAGTTTAATTATAAAAAAAAAATATTATTTCTTATTATAAATGTATTATGTTATATCGCCATTTATGACGCCCTAATACAGTTTTTTCCCAATCGAACAAATTCAATTGAAAAATAACGTCGACTCATCCGTTATGGTCCATTAGCCATAGGTACCTACCTATTATAACACCTCTATCAGAATTACAATATCAATTTAAACGTATTTGCACTGAAAAATAAATTTAAACTATGTAATAATATATAACGTCGGATTAAAAACGGCGTTTTAACAAAAGGACATCCATCGATATCCACGTTTCATTTTTTTTTCAATTTTCATATTCTATTATAGACGGTGTTTTTATTTTAGATTTTCAGTAGATCAATAAGGAAAAAGAAAAACACGTTTCAAACGAGTAATTTATTACTTATCGGAGATATGAATTGCCAAGTGCATAATAGGTTCGCTTACAGATTTTAAAATATGTCAAGAAAAATAAAAACAAGCACCTAGAGTTATATAGTAATTAAATAAAATTAATGTAAAGACTTTATACAGACCATGTCTAACACTATAACAGTAGTTACGAGTATTAACATGAAATTTGTTTTTACATTTTTACGCAGATATAAATTTATTACCTATTGTTGTATGTCTTGAAAAATTTAAAAATTTGAATTTAGTTCCGCATTTAGCAATTCGTATAATTCGAACGAAAATTAATTGTTGAAAACCGACTGAGTTACCGACCTGGTACCCACACATATTATTTTAATACGAATTAAATTAGTCACAGTTTTTCGATAGGATAGTCTATGAAACGTTTGAACAGTTAATTAATATGATTTGTAATTTTCCAAATGAAATAATCGTACGGTTTCGTTAAAATTCGTTTAGAATCGGAAAACTAAATACATCCGGCGCCCCGGAGTACCGAAGAGAATCCGATATAAATAAAAACTTGACATTTTCCAAATATTTCCGAGTATGACGTAAAGTGTAACGATATCGCGTTTAGAAATGCGTGACGACTATTCGCAGTGCCTCCACCTCCATTGGTCGTGTTTAAAAAAGAAAAAAAAATATTGTTATCGTAATCGTTTAAAGTTTATGTTACTATTCGGTGTGCGTGTGAAGGTTTTACTTTGCTATTTCATTGATCGAGTAAATAAGGGTGACCGTACGTCCTGTATTATACGGGATTGTCCGATATTTTGACATAGCGTCCCGTTGTCTCGACGAAAGTTATATGGGACGCAGTTTATTCCGCTTTTTTAAGTATGTGTCCCGAATGAACTATCGTGCTTTTCCTTACCGTTAATGCATAACTTTTGAAATTTATTTGTTGTTTTTATTCCGTTTTTTAACTAACACAAAAACAGTCGAAGACGAAATTGACGAACCGTCATCGTTAAAATAAAATTGATTTTGCGTATAAACATTATATTTGTATTAAGAAGTTATTCATACAGCACACAGTGTTTATTGTATTTTTTTCATATCATCATATATGACGTATATTAAAGTTTACTTTTTATACTTATTATACATCACGTTTAATTTGTTCTTTGTGTGTCCCGTACTTTTATTTTATTTTTTCGCTCATCTTAAAATAACTATTATTTCGGATTTTATACCCTGCCCTCTCTTCCCCATTAAGAAATCCTGGTTAAACTGATGACGATTCAGTTACGTATATCGTTATATTTTTAACAATAGTGATATTTGTACCGACGTTATGCCTCTGCGTATTTCGTATCGATCTCTCGTGATCATAGACATCCGGAAGGAGAGTAAGGAGAATAAGCGTTTTCTTCCCTCTTGGGCTTTTCGAAATTCGTAAAATTAAATGTAATTATACAAAAAGAAAAAGGCAACATCATAAAAACATTAGATACGATAGGTTGTAATATATATATATAAATATATTTGTAGAACATGTCGAGTTCTCCTGCACATACTATATTCCATCATATAATTGCACAGACATTAAGAAATAAAAAGATATTTTGGATATACTGAAAGAAACAACAATATTTTATTACGGTATCATCGTCAAAAGTTTTGAGCCACTTCTGAACTTTTAAAGAATTTTAATTTTTGGGAGTTTTTTTTTGCTGTAATTCGGTTATAAATACACGTAGAGACTCGAAACTTGGAAACTAATACTTATATTAAACTTATCTAGACGTGGTAAAATTTCCAAAATCATCGGACGACTTTTTTTTTTAAAAAAAGCGCTTTGAAATCAAATTTAAACGAAAATTGCAAATAAAAAATTACGGCACTTCAAAATTATGCATTACCAAACTGCGCTCGGAATCGTCTTTCGTCAAGTAATGGTTTATCGTTGCTTTCAGATATAAATGAAATATCTTTATGCATCCTACCTTTCTAATTTTTCACCTACAACAGTGGTAGCTACCGTTCTAGGTATATACTACTCTCCCCCTTTTCCCTAGACAAATTTTTGCGTGTATTTATGCTTGCGATACTACGGTATATAATATAATAACGATGATATTATATTATGACGCGATGTTATGAAAGCGACACATTCGGACGGATGTAAGTTATAAAAAATAATTCATTGACAAAAGAGTATTTTATTGTGGTACTTAGAAATCATGTTATAATATACCAACTAATTGAATAGAAAAAAAAAAAAAAAGGTTGAGGTAGTCAAAGAAATAAATACTAATATATAGACGTATAACACCAATTATATGTACAAGTCAAAAAAATAACAGCATAACAAGACGCATTTATGATATTGTTATTGTGTATACGATACACGGGTCTGAATGTATTTTACTCAAAGGGCCTAGTGCCAGCGTGTTTTTTCGCCTCGTATTAGTACGAGAAAAACTAGAGGAAAAATACTCTCGTATGAAATGGTCCGATTTTAACGATTAATTATATTTTTATTTTTGAATTTAGCAACAATTCATACAGTCCATATTCAATTCCGATTTGCATTATTTATAATCGAAAACTTTATAGGTAATACGATGTCTTTGAAAAAAAATATAGATTTGAAACTTATTTGTAAGCAAATGAAAATCGGACTACAATGAGGGCTACTATTATTTCTCTATAATAAAAAAATAAATGGCAAACAAATATTAAACTGAAAACGAATTATTCCTGTTATAAAGTGGCGTACGATTTTGTTTCGGGAAAGGGGGAGGAGGATAATTTGTTAAGTTAGGGTCGTCCCACCCCACGGTACCGATTTTATTGTTGCTAATGATGTTGCCACAGAAAAATTTAACCGTTTTTAAACTAATTTAACTAATTTTGATTAACCATTTGTTCGTGTCGTACTTACCTGAAAAGAGTAAATTTTCTGCCTGATAGTACTTTATTTGGATAATCTTTTTCTATATTTTTACCATGTTGCATTATACAATCTGAAAAAGCTTTATCCCTCTCATCCGCATCCCACATCTACGCTACTGATTCAATATATTTCCGTGAAGTTGTATTCGTACGTGAAAACAGTCGTGCCTCTTAAATGGTTATCGTGCATTAAATTAATAGATAATGTTTATTACTTAAGCCCTGTGAAAGTAGCAATTATAATGTGAAACTATCAAATTTTACTAAATTTGATAAACCGCCACCAGGCGCCATAATAATTCGAGTGGGTCGAAAAACGAATTCGCCAATAACTTTGATTTAAAATGTATCACGGAGTCAATTGCCGTCAATTAGGTACTACGAGAATCGTCTAAACGATTAAATTCCTATAGATTTGTTCTTGCAGCAATGAATATTTATGTATAGGGGTAAGGTCAAATTGCACTACGATTAAAAAAAAAGTAATGGCCTAACTGCAATAAGGTCAAACAAGGTTTACAACAAAAATATTTGAAAAAAAAAAACAAAAAACTTAATTTTAAGTTTCGCGTCTAAGTCAATAATACGAATAATAATAACGAAAATATAATTATTATTATCGATAAAAAAATATATGCCTAACGACACACACTGGTTGACGACATATTATTACAAAGTCGCCACTTACCGAATGGACACTGACCAACAGACCAAATAAATAGTTTTTTTTTTTTTTTAGTCATACCTGTTCACTTGTGACGGTTACGTTTGTCAGGTTGCGTTTGGTTGGGCAACACTATAGATAATTTGGCGCGAATCGTTTATACACGCACAATCCGGATGATATTCGTCCCGAGTTTACGTAATCGTATTGGTTCCGACTAGATTTTTTTTTCTCATTAACTAATTTGTCATTAATCTTATTTTAACTAATTGAGCATAACGATGAACGATGGTAATTTTACTTTCTCGATCGTAGAAAAAACAAATCGGATTAAATTAAAGCGAGTGACATTTACTTACACGTGCACTTATATAATATTATTATTACAATAACATAGATTATGATTGGTAGGTACGTCACATCCGTGTTTAATTTATACATTTAATCGAAAAATTGTTTTGGAGATGAGGTGTCTACGAATTAATTTTGTCTATTCTGCGTTTATTTCGCGTATAAATCGTATTAAATGTTAACGAGTAGGTACGTAATATAGTTTTGGAATAATTGTAATTCCTTTCTGCAGTCTGCTTCCTTAAATATAGTTGGTATACTACCACTATTATAAATAAATTATTTCGGTTTTTTTTTCCATCACTTATCGAACGCATGCGTAAATAACCGAAATATTTCCCAACAATGGTTTTACTCGTAAAAAGTCCGAGAAAAAACACAGATCAAAAAGTCGTTTTTATTATCCTATAAGATTTGTACAGTGAATACAATGTAAATTTTCAATGCCAGATTATATTAAAATCGTTAATAAAAAGTCCCAATTATACTGTATTTTTAAGCGTTTTTATGGCTTTTGATTACTCTGCCGTTTAAAAATGTTAGATTAGTATTATTTAAGTGATAATAACAAAACCAACTACCTACTACAGTAGCCTATCCAACACATGGTTCAAAGTACGTCCGAATTTTTAAAATCAATCTAATTAAATTATTGATTAAATTAAATGTCATAGGTGTGCGCAGATTTTTTGAACAAATACCACAGAGTTATAGATAGTAAAATTATAATTAGAAAATCATCTAAGACCGGTGTTGTAGGTCATGTAGATTACTGTTGTAGTTGTTCGTTGTGTAGGACGGCTGTCTTATCGTTGTTGTATAATGTATATGTGTTTATGATAATAATGGTAAGTAATGTTTTTTATTTATTTTTTTCTGTAGAAGCAAACGTAATTTTTTCTGAAAAGTATACCGCACCCATACCCACGCCTATGTTCAATATTTGAAATGTTTAAAAAAATTAAAAATCAACTTCACCAAATTATCCATCAATAATAAATAGTAGAAACCCGTTATAAATAATTGTTGAGTTTTACTTTTATAAATAAACACAAATAAGAGAGGGTTAGGGAGCCTTGTCACCCCAAAAACATCCGAACTCACCCCTCCCCCCACTTAATCATGTCCTTATTCAAGTAAATATGAAGTATATACGTATACATTCTTTGTTATAGGGTGCTAAGCCCAATTAAATATTTTTATTTTTTGCGCCTATGCTTTTATTCGATTCGTACACAATACATCCGCATAAGGCCCGCGGACGAGTTTTATACGGGCCGCAGACAAATAGAAAAAAAAAAATGAACGTATAATATGATATTTAGGTATAATCAATTTTTGTTTTGCATTATTTCAAATATTAGTAACATAATTATGTTCTTATTGCTTTCAATTCTATAATAATACCAGTGTCCTATTATATGTTAAAAATATATACTTTGAATTATGATGGCCCGTGAAAAGTTTTCAGGTCCCCAATATAATAATGTGGCAATTCAAAAATAATAAATTTGCGACACCTGCAATAGACAGTTTATAGGTAACGATTACTGTTGGTGTTTGATTGAAACTAATATATTTTGTTTCTATAACAGTGTATGTATGTAATTATTTCTATTTCATTTCAATAGTCCATCATCGATCGAAAACTCGTCGTTTTTAACGAAAATGTCACAAACAACCTTGAAAATAGCACAATTTTTATTACGTGTAGTTATTATGCTAATGTTTTTTTTTTTGTGTTTTAAATATATCTCGTCGGACGTATTATTATTATTATTATTGTTATTATTATTATTGTACCACTAACAATGCAAGTAGACGTGCATGCGCGGTATAATATGCATATTTGCATTGTTATTACCTGCCTATAATAATAATATATTTCGAAATATTATTTACAAACTCGAAATTAGATTATTATAATAATTATTGTACACTAATTATTTATTTGGAAATACTAATTAAAATCGATACAACAAAAAAAATAAATAAGTACGTAGGTATAGGTTAGGTACGTTTAAATATATATATATATATGTATTATATATACGTCATAATACTATCGATTTTGATGGTTGTGCGTTATTTTTTTCTTTCTATAAAATAATAAATTCTAGGTCGACGAGATGAATCACGAGCTATTTTTTTTCTCCGCGATAAACGAAGTATATTATATTATTGTATTTTCAAAATTATATATATATACGTATATTATAGAATAGTAATATAACTCTTCGTGTACAGGTACGGATTTCTTTGATAATAATTATTGTATAAGGTCTTGTACATGATATCGATCGCGAACTACGATAAATAGGTCATAGTATTACGCTATTATTATCAATATTAATCTATCAAACAAAATAAATAGTAAATATCAAATTAATATTTTATTAATCGGAACTCATATATTATACAGAGTATTATGTTAAGAAAAAAAAAAAAAAAACCAACGAGAGTAAAATTAATTTGTCAATAAATTATTACGTTCCGGTAATAATTACCGCGAAACGAATCACGGCCATAGGTCAAATGTATAACGATAGCGAATGGGTTATTTATGTTTTAATATTATTAAAATTTGGCAATAATATTACTGTGTATAGTGTACACGCCTACTGTAAACCTATCTATATGCATACAATTATATGAAATAGAAAAAAAAAAAACATACGAAAAATGGATAGACCTCTGTTGCGTTACGCGGATAGATTGGTGGGTAAGATTTGCGCAAGTGTAACCAGAAGATCTGACGCCTGAAATAATTTTGGTTTCGTTTTATGTATTAAAGTTTTATTTTTCATTCGTATTGATTTCCAAAGACTCTCGCCATGATTCCTCTGTTTTATACGTATTTTTTAAAAACCTATACATAGACAATTTAACTTTTTAAAAAATCTGTGATTTTGCCATTTTATCGTATAAATGTTTTCGAAAAAAAACGGTCGGTGTTTAAAATATTAACTATTGATGAATTGTTAAGTTTCTACAATTTGTTGAAGTTTACAATATTTATTAAAAAAATTGTTTTTCATGAACGAACTGGCGAAATGGTCGATGTTAATTGTATAGTAGTGACAACGAAAACAATTTAAATCATCGTAAACTTCGACAAATCGTAAAAAATAAACAATTCATCGTTTGCAAACATTTTTATAAAAATACTGGATTGGTATCATACATTTTTTAAAAACGATTTTTATTTTTTATTTACAAAAAATAAATTATAAAATAGAGAAATCATATCACAAGGAGCTTTTGTACCTTTAAGATATCGCGTGAAAAATTCATTTTTACTAACCCGAAAAGTGCATTTCGAGAAGTAAAATAATGCGAACACATATTTTATAAAACTAATACAACTTCTTCGTTATATTCAAAATCTAAAAAATTTGTTTATTCGAGTATTACAGTATATATTATTATTATTTTATAATTTTTGATAAGAAAAAAAACCAGTTTACTTTCCACATTACATATAATATTGTGTACCTTTATCGTTTATTGAACCAAAGTATGAATTATTGTTCGGTGATTTGCTACGTCGATCACATTTTTAGTGACAATAATAATAAAAATCGCGTCTTTCACAAAATATTTGTTCGACACGACATACCGACAAAAATTTATAGGAGGCTCGTAATAATATAGATACGTTTCGTACGTGCTCCGCTACATTCAATTCAATATAAATTCACAACGTTTTCAATTTTCCGAAATATTTATACAGTAAAATAATATTATCATTACTATACAACGGTAAAAATTACGAAAAAAAAATAAAAATAAACCTCAACAAACGCATTATTGCTGCCCGTTATTCGATTATCAATTTAATAGAACGAAATTATTTTTACTCATTATTATATTTATATGTACATTAGGAAAGAAGGCATATCTCACCCCTTGACCTTTTCTTTTTTTCTCATACCGTTTTCATGATTCACTATTTTATAAGTATTCAAAATGTCTACTTTTAAGACGGAAATATCAAAAATTGTACAAATAAACGTTACCACGTATTGCGTTATATTGACATCGCTGCAATATTTTAATTTCAATACCTCCATTCCTCAATAAAATCGCCAAATATGTTACTGTAGTACCTGTTAAAATATTTAGTACTATTGTTGAGTAATAGCAGTAACAATTCATATTGAAATCCGTATAATATCTAATTTTGAAAAAAAAAATCGGAAAAATATTGCTATAATTGTCAATAGTCACTTAATAGGAAATTTATTAGTTTCTATTCTTTTGGCCAAATCTGAATAAGAAATTATTCAAAGTTTTAAAAGAAGTTTTTTGGTTGGCAATTAATTTCACATAAAATGAAAGTACTTTGAGTGATGTTGTACAGAAAAATAAAATTACGTGAAATATCTCACATGTGCAAGTGTCATATACGACGTGGTAAAATTTCCAAAATCATCGGACGACTTTTTTGTTTAAAAAAAGCGTTTTTAAATCAAATTTAAACGAAAATTGCAAATAAAAAATTACGGCACTTTAAAATTATGTATTACCAAACTGCGTTCGGAATCGTCTTTCGTCAAGTAATGGTATATCGTTGCTTACAGATTGAAATGAAATAACATTATGTATCCTACCTTCCCAATTTCTCACTTACAATAGTGGCCGCTCCCGTTCTCAATATCAGCTCTTTTATTTTTTCTGGATTTAGGTATACCAAAATCTCAAAATCATAAATTTGATACCCTGGAAATTTGTTCGTGTATCACGATATAATATACTGAGTAATTATCTTGTCACGAACCAACAAACGATAACTATGCAATTTATTACCCTTCTCCACTACTCCGGTCTAAACTTTGAACTATTATAAGTCGTAAGCAGTGGATCTGATATCAGTTATATGCATACTAAAATGTCTAGAAAAACATTATCTATTTGAATCTACGGTTGAACGGATGAGATGTCATTTAAAAATACAAAGTGAATATTCATTTCGGGTACACGGAGGAGGAATGATCAATTGAAAATATTGTTAAAATAAAAATTAAACGATTCCATAACGATTAAAAAACTAATAATCAAATTCACTTAAAACCCTTCCAGAAAATGTTTGGTTTACGATAAATGAATCACTCTGTATTTGACTAGCAATGGTACACGTATATACCTATAGCTTGTAACAGGTAATGAGGACCGTATACGTAATCGTTTATTCGATTAGGCTCCACATAATAATATAATATTCATTTACCTGTGGTCATTTAAAGTATTTAACGATAATAGTTCGACAACCGTGTGCCAGTATAGAATTTCGATATTCGGTTACGAGAACGATTCGGAACAAACAGTAGTCATCGTTGTACAATTATTATTATTAATAGCTATACAGCTGCCGTCTTTATTATACCGAAACATCATCATATTATAACATACATATAGGTGTACAATAGTGACAATATATATACGACTCTCGGACAATAATTAACCGTGTCACCGTTAAGTGGGCCGGGGTTAATAAATTACCACGGCTCTCGCGGGTTAATTGACTGAAAAGCAAAAAAAAAAAAATAATAATAATAACGTTTATACCTTTAGGACCAAATTACGCACACCCATCATACGATATTAGATGTAATACTTATGAATATATTATACACATACGACCGAGAATGACGACGTGACGAGAAGCAGTAACCGTCATCGGGAACTAAGTACGATAATATTGTGTGTAGGTAGGTGTGTATATAAGTAAGTCGGTACTCAATGTGAATTTTTAATAAATTATATTCCGTAGTCCGTATATTAGATTAGACTGAAGAGGAGAGGAGAACCAGAAATGATTTATTAAATGTTTACTACAAGCGGTATTTTCTTATTTTAGCGACCAGACAATGAATATATAGAAAGTAAAGTTCGACTCGGGAGGGGGAGCTAGGAAAATTACTCGATCTGACAATTCCTAATACGGTATCATTTGTGTCTTGTTATCATCATTTCCCAACGATTCTAGGAGACGATGACTAGGAGTATAATAATATTACGAAATCCGACATCGGGTAATGGGTATAGGTATATTTTAAAGACACAAAATAATGTAAAATAACAGTGGTGTAGGTATGATTTTATTCTGGGAGAAGGGGGGAATGATAATTTGTTAAGTAAACTTCGTATGGGGCTCCCCCACACACTTCATACAAATCTATGATTTAGATTCTAAGTTTAGCGAAGAAGCTATTAGTTCTGCTAAGAAGTGTTTTTAATTTCGGAGCGTAATGAGGAATGTATATTAATTTTGTAATGATGTTTATTTTATATTTTTTATAACAGAAAATTTGTTCTGATTTTCAAGTATAGCACTTTTTCTGAAAAAAAAATGTTTTGTCAAATAGTACTTTAAAGGGGTCAATTTTTTTATTTTCCTAGGGGTGTCATAATAAATAGGAAAACCTAGAAAAAACGTAGAACCAACGGAAATTTTACAAAATTTATTATTTTCAAATTGTAAATATCATGGCCATTCAAAACATGTATAACCGAACTCCACTCAGAATCGTTATTCCTCAGCAATGATAAATAGTTGCGTACAGATATGCATTTAATTTCCTCTTTACCTTCCCAACTTCTCATCTATAATAGTGGCCCACCTATCATGCAAAATACGTCCGTTTGTCTTTTTCTTTATGAAAACACTTTTTTGGTTAGTAAAGAAAAAATTGTCTTAATTATTTACGCCCGTCGCACCTTAAAAGATAATAATATGCAAAGTTTTCGACCGATGGTACTTTATTTGAAACCATTTATAGATTGCTTACAGTTTTTGTCTATACAATTTAAAAATAGACCATAAAAATCGGTACATAGGTTTTATTTTTGTTAATTTTTGAATTATTCTGGCTACAAGGGAAAAAACACAACTAAATTTACTTTGCTCAGAATCAATTTTTCATTACGAAATTTTTTTACTTAGGTGCATAGTATAAAAAAAAAAGACTCTGAGATAGAATTTTTCTCTATCAACCCACTATAACTACGCCACCCCTTTAGTTGTTAAAAAATCGTTTGATGATTTAATATTTATAAAAGTTTTGAAATTTTATCTGTGTTATTTATCTTGTGCTATTATTGTACCGCTGCCATTTAGAGTGTCATTTGGGCTGTTACTCATTATTGTAGTTGTCATGTTTAATCTGCCATTCCTAAAAGTGAAGCCGGATCGAGTAATTATTGGTTTTACGTAGATTTATTTCTATTATTGTTGATAAGTACAATGGTTTCGATAAAAATATGCGTGTTTTGGCTGTGCCGAAATAGGTAAACAGTTTTTTGTATTGTTTGCTGTTGTTTGCTACTAATTGGCTGCAATATCGCAAAAAAGATATATTTATTGTACAGTATTTTAACAATTGATAACCAGTAAGCGAGGGAAATAAACGTAGTTTTTTATTGTTTGCTGATTATTTGCAGTTGTCAAGCAATAATTATTGCAATAAACGATTTCACCAAAACGGTTTATTCGGTGAACTATAGTAACCGCAATTCGCTCAAAACAGCATCGCCGAAACACGCATACAAACTAAACGAGATTGATAAAAAGTAGGTGTACTAGGCAATGATATCATTTCCTAACCGTATTAAGAACAAATTGGCATCGTTTCCTAAACTGTCAACTTTTCCGTTACATGTACTCGTATACGATATAAATGTATCGTATCGTATGTTTGTCTTAAATACCTATATACAGTTGCGGTACTGCAGCTCAATACGGTTTTTAAAATGATTATACTGTATTATATTATTTTGTTATGAGAAACGGAAAATTATACATAGTTAATAAGGCACGTTTAATTATTAGAATAGTTTTGGGTCGGTTGATATTATACTCGTAGTTTAACAAATATTGAGTTTGCGACAGTGTAAATAGTACAAAAAATAATATTATTTTTGTGTACAAAGCGTAACGCAAGTAAGAGATTGTTAGTAAAACGGTTTTTATTGTTATTTTTATAGTTTCCAAAGGTTAGGTTTAATAGGTTAAATTAGGTTTTTAATTTATATATTTGTTTGCAATCGTCTGCAATATGTTTATATTAGTAAATCACAAATTATTAATTAAAAATGTTCATTTTGTTTACACCGGATATGATTTTAAATCGAATTTATTACGTATAAACGTTTTTTATGGATTAATATTTTACAAAAAATATATGAAATAGCTACGAGGAAAAATTTGTCGATTTATATCGCAAATCTATGAAATAGAGTATCCTTGGAAAATACAATAATACTTATGTAGGTAACTTACAAAATCCGCATTCCACTATATGATGGCACATGCAGTGTGAGAAAACATTACAAGTTTAGCTAAATAATTATTTAAAGGAAAAAAAATGCTTTAACACTAAAATTTCTGAAAGTAAACGATGCAAATATTAAACGTCTTAGTAATGTTACACACATAATTGTAATGCAAATTAGCATACTGAAGTGTAGTAAAACAAATTTAAAAATATTTTCGTTTGTTTATAACGTAGGTTAAAACTTTATTATCATAAAATTCATCGGCAAATTTGATTTTTTTTGGTTCTTGATTTTATGACAGTATGAACATAATTAAATTTCACGAATCTATAAAATGTCGAACGATCAAAGTTTTAGCTATATTATGCACTATAAGAGTTCTTCCCCTCTCTCGTCTCAAATTTATCCTCAAAAATATACCAAGAATGATATTATCAATACCGAGATATTACCAATGGGAAAAAAATTGTAGGTTTTTTTTATAGGTATTCGTTTCGAAATTACTTGTGTTGAAAAAAAAAATACCAACTGTATAACTATAAAAATATCTCTCTCTCTCTTTCTCTCTCTCTCTTTCTCTCTCTCTCTACACATATATTATAGTTCCTAGATATTGCTCGACCGTTTGATAATACGACGGAATTTCACTATTATAAACATTATATACTTCGCGTTATATTATTTTGTCTTTGTCTTTGTCGTCGTTTTATGTTGCAGTTTTGATGAATGGCGCGGATAGTGGGTATATAAAAAAAAAAAAAAAAAAAAAAAAAAATGTTTAATGAATAATACTTTCACCGGCAATGGCCACAGACCAAAGACCAAACGCGTCGTCGCACACGTCTTTTTTTTTTCCCCTGTGACGCTATATTATATAGAATGTTCTTCTTATTATATACACACGATGAACATATTTTTCAAATTAATTATTTTTTGAAAAGTACAAAGGAACAACAATATAAAGAATGCTAAATTAATGTCGCGCGTATAACGATGTTATAATAATATTATATTTAGATACGATGCAATTTAAAAGCGATGTTTTTATTTTTTGAAAAACTTCAAATTTTAAACGTCAACTATATCAGCTATTATAACTGTATATTATAATTATATTGAAATAATAAATACCTACGGTGTATAACGTTTGATGTAACGCAATATTTTGATTAATGTAATTTTAAATATTTCTTTGTATAAGGTACACCGAATTTTTCATACCCGGTTTCAGCGTTGTATTATAATATTGTATAATGATACTGGTTATTTTTTTGCTTTGATAAAAATATCAAAAAAAAAAAAATAAAAATAAAAAAAATGGCGTACGTAAATACGAAAATAATATTACCGAAAATGTTTTGTACAATTATTTCGTTTTCTTTTATTCGGACGATATCGCGTGTAAATATCTGCGGATTAAAAAAAAAAAGCTTAATATCCAATGACCGATTTGAAAGCATGGGAAATGTGTGTCTGCTCGCAGTGTTCAACAAGGTGTTGTAACATGCGATCCGTGTTACTTATCCCGAACTTAAAAACGTAAAAAGGTCTGCGTAGGAGATTATTACCAGTGCATTCGAATTGTTAATGTTCCCAGATAGTTTTGAAAACAGTTTTAATTTTCCTTCCCGCTTTATACAGACTTAAAATCGTCTACACGTTACCATTGATTAAATATATGTATACAATCAATGTAATATTTAATCAATGGAAATTATGCAAATCCAAACACTGTTTAATTGTACGATTGTCGGCGGATTACTGAATGCAGCATAACGAGTAACGACAGTATTTTAGGTATAGGAACCAATTCGGTTGTAGCCGAGTTTCTATCAATTTTTTTTTTTTTTGGCAGGCAAAAATAGCCTGTGTAGGAAATTACACTATCTTTTAAATTCGGAAGAAAAAAATTATTCGTGTGGCGTTTACATGTAGTCACATAATCGTCGCGGGCGGTCGGTGGGACGTGTAAAACGTTTAGGATACATATCTATATAATTCGAATGGTTTGATATCCCGAAAGAACGATAAACTAATAAAAATTTAAAAAAAAAGATTCTGATCAGAACTCGGAAAACTGGTTAAGTTATAATGTTAGTATTGTAGTATTCGTGTATTTTTCCCTTGCAGCCATATAACAGTTATTAATAAAAAAAAAAAAAACAAATGTATATCCATCATTCGTTGTCAGTTTATTTTTTTAACTCCCATAAAAACCGTTGGGAATCTAGAAAATTTGTCGAAATAAAGTACCACCGGGCAAAAACACGTATCTCATAAGGTATGACGAGTGACAATAATTTAGACCATTCTTACCGAAAAAAAAAAAAAAAAACGTAGTTTTCGAAAAACACAACATATTTAACAGAACAAAATTGATAGGTAACTTCGGTCTTATTTGATACGCACGGAATTTAATAAAAATACCATATTAATAATGCTAACGAACAGACTAAAATCATTTAGAATATGGTCGCGGGACTGGACATAATATTGTGACGGTGTATATTTTAATCGATTATTCAGACCTAAAAGCCAGACAAAACTTCAACAATTTTGAAAACGGATGGTTTGTAAATATAAACTTAATAGTTTGTCTAGAAATCGTAAAATAAAATTTGATTGTGTTTTGGAAACATTTTCAAAAATTATTACTTTAAATATTTTGATCGTTTATACTTACTACCTTAGATAAAGAAAATTAAAATATAAAAAAATAATTTCATTAAAAGTCTAATGAATTATATATACACGTTTTGAAAATAACTGTCGAAATCCATCAAACGTAATAATATTAATCATATACAGTTTTGTCTGGCTTTTCGGTCTAGAACGGGTAATCAAGCATTAAATTAGCGGAAATGAGATGATAAAGGGAAAAAAACTATTTTTACCAAACCAAAACCATAAATAAAAATTGGGAAGGTAGAATACAGACGGGAATTTAATGTATATCTGTAAGCAACGATAAACCGTTTCCCAACGAAAAAACGATTCTGAGCGGAGTTCTGTCAATATTGTTACTTTTTCGACAATCCATATGTCATATTATGGTAAAATAATTACATATGAGTTAAACATTTTCTTTAATAATATCGTTAATAATAATATAATATAATTATTTAACAGTGTACCCATAAATCTCGGTTATTTCCAATGTATTGAAAAAATTACTGAGAAAATCAAAAAAATTGCCTCGTAACGTACCACCCCAATCAAATTTTTTATTGAGAAATAGGGTTGCATTTGTATATCGAATCAATATTTCTGGTAGAAGAGTTGTTCACGGATAAAAAAAAAAAAGTAAATAAACATCGTTATGTAGAACCATAAGCTTCTCCGTTCCACTCGGAATCTAAAAGAAAATAATCATCTTCGTGATGTAACAATATAAATCCGGTATCGCCTGCGCCTGCGGCCGGTGTTTCGTGAACACGTTGTGGCATTTCGTTTTGCTCGATAACCGACAGCGCGGCTACGCGGCTGTACCGCATTATAGGTATAAAACAACACAGCGAATGGTGTATAGCCGATATGCTTATAGTGTCGGTATAGCGGTGGATACACATATACATACATACATACATACAGGCATACGTACGCACGACAATATGTATGTGTAACCGTGTTGTCGGCGACGGGAAAAATTCCGAATAAAATAAATACAGAAAACGAAAAAAAAAAAAAAAAAAACAACGAAAAATATTCAAATAATATCACAAGAGTGGTACGCGTATAGGAATCGGGCGGTAGCGTAGGTACGGGGAAACCTGTTTGGCGGTATTACGTGACGTGAGAGAGTGTCTGCATAATGTTATTATTGTATTAGGTATGTTGCGCGGCGCGTACCGCAAGCCATTGAGCCGCACACTCTGGCGACTTTACCGGAAACTCGACAAGTGCGCGCGCGCTCGTTGTACCTCACGTTATACCGTCGGTCGGTCGGTCGTTATCTATGTAGGGATGACTGTGAAAATATTGCGTTGTACTTGTAACCGGGTCTCGTACGGAGGGGAAAAAAAAAAAACAAAGGAAATAATAAAAATTATACGTTATCGATTTCTCGAGCGCCGTGATAATTGAAACCGATCGAAATAACAATAACACACTGCGCGCACACACACACGTACACACACACACACACACACGCGAGCGCGCGCGCGCGCGCCCACGCACCGGGTGTTGTACCCTACGCGACGGTTACCTATTGATCACCCGCGGTTCTCTTCTTCCAGTTTTCGGTCGCGCGGGGTCGATAAGCCGCGGCGCCGAGGCCGCCGGAACACGAACCGCAGCGCCCCGATTTTTACAGACGCGTTTCCGTGATATTGCGCTTTTCGATGTTTTCGGTTGTTTTATGTTATCACCGTTTTACAATATTAGCTTTCCACTCTCGAAACCTGTTTCGTTATTATCGTCGTTTGACCTCCACGCGCGCGCGCATCATACCGGGTCCTTTTGCGCCGGCAGTGTTGTACACTTCAATAATAATATACCTACCGCTCCTACGTCCGGTTCGTTATTCCGTCCTCCCTCACACACACACCCCCCCCCTTCCGCCGCCCCCGAATAATTATATCATTCAAAACGCAGATCGGGAGTTTCGGCACGGTAATATTGTTTCGGTATTTGTATACGCGGTCTTTTGAACGCGTGTGAATGACAATAATTGTTCTTGAACCGCGCGGGAAACATAATATATTCAACACGGTATTCTCCGGGATTCGGTGTAGCAAATGAAACAGAAAAAAATAAAAAATCTTCAACATCACAATCGTCTTAATAAACGTACGAACGCCACGCGCGCACTATAAACAACACTATTACAACGTTAAACCGCAGTGGTCGCGCGCGTCTTTCTAGTCAGTAGCATGGAGTAATATTATTGCGGCAATTCGACATTTCGCCGGTCTCCCGACAGAAAACAAAAGACAAATCGTTCAATTTTTTTTTTCCACCGTTCGTTTCAGATGATAACCGTCAACGTGTGTACCGCCGCGTCGTCGCCGTCGTGATGGCAGATGCGTACACCGGAACAACAACAGACGAGGAGACGTGCCACGGGTCGGACAACAGCTGAATGATACCGACCGCGGTTTTGTGCGCGAAACCGGCGAAGAAGCGTCGTCGGGAAACACCATGTGGTTTGGCGTAAAATGGCCGACCCAAACAAGAGTAAAGCGCTGTATTCGTCCGGAGTCGCGTTCTTAGGGTTAGCGTGTTTCGCACTAGCCGCCACGGCCATTGGGTTGCCGTTATGGGGTTACTTCGAAAGCCCTCAATGTAAGTGTTGTCCGGCTCTTTGTATTTATAATGCAATGTTTGTATAGGTGAAAAAAGCCCCACGAGTGTTCTGCCCGTGACTAAAATGTAAACAGGTGTGTCGGAAAATTGTGTGTGCGCGTTACGTAATGTTTGAAGTGTGCCCCAGACTTGGAATAAACGATAAAACTCAGTGACGGCCATAATTAAAGTTCAAGGGGGTGTCAAAATTAAATAAAATTTCAAAATTCCAAAAAATTCACACTGATGTTTAGATTCTAATGTAAATATTGGTTTTACTGTGATCTGATTTTTCTATCTTCAACTTTTGTGTTATCTCAGATCTCGTTCCGATTTGCAAGTGATTCGAGTACGAGATATTTTAAACAAAATAAAACGTTTAATAACGATTATATAAACGTACTTGCTTTCATTATTTCACTTGGAATAAACAATAAATTGAAAAAAGCCTCAGCCCAAGGGAGGGACGATCCGACTATCGTCCTACCCTCCCTACCCCCAAAAAAACCATCGCTGATAAAACTGGAAAAACAATTTTAGTTAAAATTGGTTTGTTTTTGTCGTGATTATTACATGAAATTTAGATGGTTCCGTTTCTTCCACGTCTGCGGGGATAAATGCACTGCAGTGATAAAGAAAACATGCAGTTTTTCTGATATGCCTGTTTATTTATAATGAGTGTGGGCTCTTCTGCCACAAAACTATATTATAATCTGCAGGAGAACCACTGCTCGACCTGCACAAGTCCAACGAAATATCATATTGCATTTGCTGTATACAGAATTTTTTAAGAATATATTTGATATAATTGGTATAATTTGTAGCATAGCATAACGTTAGAGATCGTAAAAAAAAAAAAATAGCTAACGACACACATAAAATAAAAATTCATATAAATAGTTTGTCATTCGTATATTTTATAATAATAGTGCGGCTATTAAAATCATGTCCGCCGAGTCTGTTGCGGTAAACGATTTAGACTATTACACTGCAACGACTCTTTATATTATAATCTTGGCCCTCGACTTTTTTTTCCACATAATATTATTATTATAAAAACCAACGAGATCAGCGTGTATCGTCAAAGCCAATAAAAATATTTGTCGACTTTATATACACAATTTTTTTGTACTACATAACATAATACTTCAACAGCATTATTCATCATCAACGTTATTACTCATCGATCAATTCATGCTGTAGGCAGTTATACCCCCCTATAGTTCTCTATAGGTTTTAATCGAAATCTATTTATTTGAATAATGATGCACAAGACAAAAGTAACGGTAGACGTATAATAATATAACAGTCTGAAAACTAAAATATAGCGGGTATACTCAATTTGTAGACAAATATTGTTTTAAGCTCGATATTGTTTATTGATACTTACTATTATTTGCTCGTATACTTAATGGTCGAGTACTTCAGAGCTGTAAATATTGTCGATTGCTATAAATCATACGCATATTTTAAAACCATACATTTAATTCAGTTCGTGTTTTATTAATCCAAATTTAAAAAAAAAAAAAAAAAAAAAAATCCCTTTAAGTATACAATCAAAGCGCTTTTCATTAGGTATTAATATTTAAATAAATTTAATAATTAATCAAATCTTTCAAATTATTTCAAATACCCATAGCTGACAAACAAACTGGAAATAAATTATTCTAAATAGTCAATCCTTATTACATCGGTAGCCGATTTTCTTTTTTTTTTTTTTTTTTTTTGTAAAAACATATATATATATAACCTTTTTCTGATAAAAGTTTCGACACACAAAGAAAATATGGGGAATTCACCCTTCCTCACATACCCCTTCCGCATCGGTCATGAGAGTTTGACGTGAAAAAAACTACTCCAATTTCACAAATTTTCAATTGTTACACCATAATAATATCAATGCATATCATGCATATCAACTCAAGGATACGATATTATTGTGTATTATCTATATTGTTATATTCTTACCTATATTTTGTGCTATTATTATTATTATTATTATTTTTTTTTTTTAATCAAATTAGGTCAATTAATTATATTCACAACTGTGAGATTTTTTTTTTTTGTAGGTCTTTCAACATTAAATTAAAAAATGATAAAGTCCTAAGTTTCACCTGCATGGTCGTTTTACACATCATCAGCGTGGGTCACCGTATGTTACGATTAAAACAATAAAGAAAATGATTAAATTAGTTTAATCACTTTTTTTTTTTTTTTTATAATTATTAAATTATTTATTTGTTAATACGAAATCGTAATAATTAACTTAATTTATTTAGTATACAAATATTACGTATCTATATTAAATTATATATTTTTATTTTATCATAATAATATATATTATTAACGAGTAAATTCTTAATTAGTATCGATTTTAAACACTTTCATTATGACAAAATCAAATCATAGAGTATATATATTTATATATAGAAATATAACGTTTAGAACACTATGGTTGATTTTTCAGTTATTCTCTACTTTCATTTAGGTATTGGCATTCGACATTCGGTTTGTATAACTATAACTATACAATTTGTTTGATTACATCGTTTAGTGTTACTATTAAACATACATCCGAAGGACGATATATTTTATTTGGCACTACGAAATCAATTGTATAAGGTACAAATGTTTTACTAGGTTTCTGTGGAAATATAATTATAGAATTATTGTTATTGCGGCCATTCAAGTGTTCACATTTTATTTAGGTAAGTTTAGATTAGGGTGCCCAAATAGGATAACCTAAATAAATATAAATCATAGATAATTTTTGACGTAGATTTATATAAGCTAATATACTAGTTATAGAAATGTATGCGCCTAATAAACTCGTCGATTTTAATCGCTATAATGTAATTTTCAATTTTCAACCTTTAAAATTAAATCAGTATATAATATGATGATGATGATATACCTGTAATCTAAACGTATATTTACTCAATCCACAATGCTAAACGTTTAACTCGCAATGTTTTTTTTTAATAATTTTCGATTTTATTCGACAACGTTCTTATCAGTATCACCTTGTATGAATGATGTAGGTGTGTTACGTACCTGATAGTATTTTAATTTTAAATCCACATTATCGATGATAACACATCGACGGGATTCATCGAAAACCTTGCCCGTTAAACTCGCGAAAAATATATAGATATGCTTTTTTAATTAACTACATGCATAAACCAATTAATACGTTCATTTATAAACTGTATAATATTATTACTAAGCCCGATGCAGTGTTTGTACAATGTATAGCGCTACTTTAAATATTAGATATTCTGGAAAATCGTTTTCCAATATTTTCTGATTGATGTCCAATAATTTGACTCTTCAATTTTTTCTTCTCTTTATATATTTTTTATTTCTCGCGTCCGTCGGTGACATAGCAAAAATTTGTATTCAAATCATTTTCTCAGAAATTATTGTGTCGTATCGTCAATATTCATAAATATAGACATTATGCACGTATAGTGTACATCGTAATACATTTATCATATTTTCCTTGCACGAACAATATTTAATATTATTTGCCTATACAATGTAAAATAATAGAACACACAATTTTCGGGATAAAATTTATTTTTCAACTAGAGGTTAGGTATTAAAGACATTTTTAAGACGATTTAACAATTAATTATAAAACTATCGTATCAACAAAATAATATCGTAGATCATTGTTTGGTTTTTCATGGGTATTTTGTCGATTGAGACATGAATATTTACACAAATACGTTCAAAGTTTAATTTTTTTTTTTTTGCCGCCTCTAAATAACGTTATTATAATCATAATTTATTACAATATATAATGTTAAAGTTATAGTTCACTAGATAAGTTACGCTAGAAATTTTCTCAATAAAATTGTATCCATTTATTATATGCAAGATGTGGTATCCATTTAAATGGGTACGTTCATTATCTCGGAAAGTATTAACTATTTTCGGAATTTGTTTTATAGAAAATTTAAGAAACAAGGTGCTGCACAATTTTATATTTATGTTATTTTATTTTTATGGTTAAAACCTTTGCCAATTTCTGTTTTTTTTTTTTAAATAATAACCTGTATAAAAAATGTCATTAATAGATGGTGTAATAGTTAAATTTAATTTTGGTATTGAAATTGTTGATTTCCGTCAACCCATTAACGTTTTCAAGAGTATTTTTGTAGATTTTAAGTACTAAATCTAGATCCCTAAATAGTTATAAAACATTTCGGTATTCAAGAATTCAAAAAGTATGAATTTTTTTTTGGTCAATTTATGAAACAAGCAGCTTAAAAATTGTTACATCGCATTTTCATCATTATTTTTGTGTATAAAACAGCTGCCCACTTTGGATTTTCAACCTACATAAAAATTCTATAAAAATGCAAAGTTTTATTTCAAATACATTTTGATATTGAAAATTTTCATCGACCTGATCACCATTTATACATTATAAGGCGAGCTGTGTGACATTCTGTATGCGTAAATATCCCCGTAAAAACATATTATCAGGATTAGTTATTTTTGTATTATTTAACGAATTCTATATGATCGTGTTTTAACGGTGTAACTTGTGACCTCCCGGCAATATCTTTAAATAAATATATTTACCCAAAATAATCGATTAATTATAGAATAGTGTATAACACATTGATAGAAAGTAAAGAATAAAAATCTACTGAATAATAAAGAATCGACACCATTTAGGTCAAGGAACCTGACAACTTCAGCCGACTTCCTATATAGACAGTAATATAAATTATTCTCGTTAGGTACTTTTATGAATATTAATTCTATAATGACATCTCGCTGTTTCTTGAAAAATACCTACCTATACCTCCCAAATTATACAATTTTAATCTAGATGATTAGTTGGTCTTAATTTTAAATGCTGAGCAGAGCGAGGAAACTATTAGTGATGCGTGTTTTTTTTTATTTTTGCATCGTTAAACATATTTTAAAAATGTTCAAAACGTTTCACGCAACAGGTTGGCAATAACTTTAAATAATGTAAATGGGATTTTAAGATGACCGTTTCTCGATATTTTCAATAATTTGCATGAGCGTAAGCGTGAAAAAAAAAAACCAACAAAATATTGTGTTCAATCAAAATACGTACGGTGATGAGTCATTTGGCTCTTGAAAAATACATTTCGGTTACCTATATTTTATTATATCAACTTCGATATCGAACATGGTTATACGACTCAGGATAGTTTTATACATTAAAAAAAAAAAAACTCTGCTATTCAACAACCGAATATTAGTGGGCTATCCAGCGTTAAAAGTATGAGTACGTCCGTTTTTAAAATCGGTATTGTGTATCTAATTTTTATACATTCCGGATAAACTTTCTTATCGGTTTCAATAAAGAATATTTTGAGCATTTCCATACGATACCGAAAAAATGCCTTCCTTCGAAAATAGTTACAGTTAACAAAACCAACGTGTTATTTTAAATACAATTCAAAAATGGTTTTGTTCCTCCGTTTGTACAATATACTTATAAACGCGTTGTATATAGTTTCTGGATATCTTTTTTTATCATTTATCTAAACATATGGAGTTAATTTACTTATTGACCTTGTTTTATGTACCTACCTATGGAAAAAAAAAAATAAATAAAAAATGTGGGAAATTTTTAATGAAGGTACCGGTGTGGTTTTTTAACATAATATTATATGCATAATGAATACCGCAGGCAATATTTATGCAAGTCTTCTCGTATAAAATAAATTATTAATTAGTTTTATATAATAATAATACACGTATACTGTACTAAAAAAAAAAAGCATTTTTATAAAAGTTCAGAAATTATTTAATTATTCGAACGTTATTTATTTAAGTATATTTTTTTTTAACATTTTTTTCTTATAATTTTCGACCATTGTTAATACGTTTGCAACAAAGATAAATAGTATGATAATATAATATGAAAACCGTATAAAATAATTTTTTTTTTTTATATAAAATAACTATTACATTTTCTTGGGTAATTTATACATGGTCTTTTCGAAGAAAATATATAATATCTATACTATACGTATTATTGGAATATTTCTTTATAACTTACCTATAATATATACCAACAAATACTAACTTTTGTTTTATCGGTACCCACGTATGTGCGTATGTGTGTGTCTGTGTGTGTGTGTGAGTGTATATTATCATTTGTTTCCTTCGTTTTATTATGTTCAACAATAAAAATAACACGAATAGCAATGGGATTCGAATAAATACCGACTGTTATTTATTTACCTCTCCAGAGGAAATTGGGGACGGGGCTATTACAGCGTAACGCATTTCGATTAGCCGCAGTAGACAACATTATGCAGATATTATGTATCGTAATAATGTACAAATCAAATATCGTACGCATAATACGCTGCGGCGTATAATACAGATATAATGTTGTAGTGCAATGATCTTGGTTAAGAATTTTCGTTCATTGTTAAATTGCGCACATGTGACAGTATAAGAACGAAGATACTGTACGATATACGTACCTATACCTACCGAAACGGTGGGGAGTTTATAGGTTATTAAAATATGTGTGTTGGCCAGGTAAATGAAATGTGGCCACGCTATAAATTATTATTATATTGGGGGGAGGGGGGGGGGAGGCCGGTGGATTTTACTCTTATAGTATAGCTCTTATACACATTGTCTAATGTCTGTATATATAATATATATATGTATGTATATGCATCGGGTTGTTGAACTATCGTGAACCTAGTCGGATATAATATATATTTTATAAAAACAAATCAAATGTGATAATATTGTCGGTTTTTTTTTTTTCTTTCTGTTTTACATTTCCGAATTCTTATTTTCCAACGGCTGTACAGGTATACCATTAAATAATGTGTTTCGTTAAAACCAACTCGAACGACAATAATATTATTGTGCTATAATATATAATGTACGTACCGAGTTAGGTATTCCAGAAAACCAGTTTCGCGTATAATTTATAAGACGCGCTGGATTGGAATACGTATTATATATATATATATACTCGTTAGAGATAAAACGTTAAGCTGAATGTTTTGAAAGAATTTTTTTTTTTTCTTCTTCTTCTTTTTAATGATTATTTTATAATGAAACGGGTCATGTTACTACCTATGTAGCCGAAAACTATCGAGAATTCGGGAAAAGTCACTATTTCAAACTTTCGATATTTTATTACCAATCATAGAAATGTACAGGAAAAATACAATTTCTGTCTCCGATTACTATACGAATATTATTTATATCAGAGCGGAATTTAAAAAAAAAATATATTTATCTTTATTTTTATCGAATAGTATTGAAATTAATCCGTTGCCGAACAGCACATTGACAATGTCATTATTATTTATTACAGGTATTTTTTTTTATCAGTTAAAAGCTAATGGAATGGCATTGTAGTAGGAATTATTTTTACCGAAAACATTGTTATATTTTAGTTTTTTTTTTTTTAATTTCTACAAAAAAAAAAAACAAAACCCATCATATTATTTTCTCGTAAGACAAAACGTTTAAAATGCAGATCAGTTTTATGGTGTTGAAGCTCAGAAAAAACTTTCGAGACATTTAAATAAAACAAAAGATGTAGATTTTAATAAAAAATATATTCTTATATTAATATTATAATACACTATAATGTTTATCATATTTTTTTTTTAATTTTTCAAAAGTTGTTTTAGCAAAATAATTTAAAAGAGGAACTACGGATATTATTATTATTATTATTATTAACTTCATGTTATAATAATTCCTTGTCGTTGAAAATTAAAATCTTATATTATCGTCCATTGTTTAGTTTTGTGGGAAATTAATGCAGCGGTATCCGTATTTCTAAAGGATGCTTTTCAAGTAAAAAAAACATTTACACTATTGACCCTATTAGCACTGCACATCTCACTCACCTAGGGCCAGGAAAAGGTTTCGTTGAAATCGTAGTTAATTATTTAGTTTATTTTAGTTAAAAAATTAAAGACTTAAATTATCTTTTTGTCAAATTTTATCCGAAAACAGCACTGTATGCATTGTATATTATGTCTGGTTTTTCCCGCTACATTTGGACACTTTAAACGACTTTGTCTGTACTAAATGAGCTCAAACTGGGGAATAAAAGTTGTTTTATAAGTTATATAAGATTCAAGTGATATACTCATAATTTTGGTTAAATATCAGTATGAATTTAATCATGCTATTGGGGGAGGGTTTTTTAGCTTTGTAATCCTCTACAAATAAATTCTCCTAAATAAACCTAAGGGAAGCGACATTTTATATATGTATAGTGTAAGTATCAAGGATGTGTCTATTGAGTAGGTTTTAACTTTCAACCCCCTCTGCGAAAATTTGTTTACTCAAATTTCATATTTTCACAGGAAATAACGGATTTTTAATACCCCTGCCCCGTGGTTATATAATAATAAGTAATTACTATCACTATTTCACATCAATTATAGAAAAAAAATTAAAATATAATTTAGCTGGAAAGGTATTCGAACACTATGACCCAAAGGTACTAACGTCTAACACCCCTATAATATTCCACTAACGTGTAACGGAGGACCCGGTTTTTTTTTTTTTTTTACAAACAATCGCTCTTCGGATATAAAAACCAATGAATGATTTAGAATTGTAGCGCTCAGTGTAATGATCTTAAGTATAAAACCACCAAAATATCATTTCAAGTTATAATGAGTGGTAAAAAAAAAAATATTGAGCGTAATATGTAATCGATTTTTTTACTATTGTTTTGAGATCAAATTTTGATGAAAACCGTAAATATTACGAGATTTCAAAATATAACTAAACTTCGCTCAAAATCTTGTTTCGTTAACAATGATTTATTATTCCTTACATATATGAATTAAATAATTTTATGTATCCTACCACCCCGAAATCCCAACTTTCACAAAATATTTACACATTATTTTCGTCTAACCGATTAAGGTCGCTCCACACAATGCATGTTTCGCGTTTCGTGTTCTCACGTTTTTGTTTAATTTCGCGAATAGTGTGTATAGCTTTTTCACGGAAAATTGTTTGTGAAAACTGTTTCACAGTGTTTCGCGAACGAGGCGGTAAAATTGGCGAAATCAAAGGACACGAAAAAATTATTTCGTGAAAAAGCACTATGCATGTTTCGTGAAACTCGAAACATGCATACATAGTGTGTATACCTTTTCTACGAAACCCTACGAAACAGTAAACACTACACAACGCAAAACATACATAGTGTGGAGCGACCTTTACAAAACGCGTGGGCCACGCGTAGATCAAAGTTGATATGTCAAGACCATTTTGTTTTAAATTTGTGTTTAAATTATAATTACAGTAAACAACTAAAATAATCAAACTATACTCTAAACAAAACGATTAAAATCGTGTACAAAAATCAGTTGATTTAAACTGAAGAAAATATGTCTGCATAAAAATTTAATTTCATCGTGAATTAGATAAATTAATTAATTACTAGTTTATAAACAAATATTTTTTTCGTTAGAATATTTTTAATTTATTTGTTGGATTTAATTTTTTTAGATAGATCCACTTAATACCTACCAAATAATTTGAAAATAAAATCAAGTATAGACTAATGATATAATAAAGTTTAATATATGTATTCTGTGAAAATTTCAGCTCTCTACGATAATTTTTAACCGAATTACAACAAAAAACCGAAATCGAAAATAACGAATCCATTGACGCCGAAAACTTCCTGTATTTACTTAGTTTTTTTTCGATTTTTCCCGATTATTATGAAAAATAGGTATATCAAATCACTGCTAACTAACTAGATCAAAAATCCAACAAGATTTCTTGTAGAAACCATGCATCGTAAAAATTTAAAAAAAAAGTTATAATCAGATAGAAAACAAAAGATTTCCCATATATGTAGTAAATACTTAAATAGAATAATTATAGTTGATCGATTTAACGCTAAAACCTGTATGTCGGTGGACACACCGACTCTCATACATGTTCACAGAGGTAAATCACGTCGAGAGTAGTTAATACTCCGATGGGTGACCGTCGAACGGGAACCGCGCCCTTTATTTTCCTTCACATGTAGTTTAACATTTTTTTATTCTATTACAATTGGATCGAATTTAACTCTCTTCAATTATTTCAATTAATTTGTTTTCATATTTTACTATTTTACCGAAAAATACACAGGCGTTTTTCGAGACAATTCTATTTAATCGAATTACAACAAAAAATAAATCTACTATACATTACGCTGAACATTTTTATTTTTTGAAAATATTTCCACGTCTAGACAATCCTAATTCTATGCTTAAATAATAAAAGTAATACGTATTACTTATTAGTTATTACTAATAAGTGAACATTTTGTGAAAATTTCAAGTCTACGAATTTTTTTTAATCGAAAAACAATGATAAATAAAACAAAATTGAAAAAAACGAAACCATTATTAAAATTTTCCCGTTTTGTCTACGGTTTTTTCCCCGCTACTGCAGAACTATAGAGAAAACTATTCGGTAAAAAAAAATTGACTTACTCACTCATCAACTAAATCCGAAATGCAATAAAAATTTGTTTACAGACACACGAAAAAAAAAACACACACACATATTATAGTAAAAACTAACACATTCATCGGTACGCTCAGAGTCTAAAAACTGAAATATTATAACGGTGACAATTCGACTAGGGGAAAATTAGATTCTACTGACGGAGCTGTGCTGTTCGCGAGCGTTTTCTTTTTTCTATTTCTACATATTAATTTAAAACTTTAGTGTTTGCAAATGGGAAAAAAAAACCGACCATATAATATTATAAAACGGGTATATCGTGTCGACCCGCCTACACTATGAGTAAAGTATATAATATAAACTACTAAATAACCGCTTTTCCGCGTGGAAAATTACCAATTTAATGTATCGACGACAATATATTTGTTCGGTTAACATAATATTGACTTTCTGTCCACGGAAACCCGTTATTATGATGTATTTTTTCGCCTTTGACCGATACGATGAGTTTGACGACACTATGAAATCGTTCGTCGTTATCGCCATCGTTGGTCTCAGCCTCTATTTCATGCCTCGTTTCGGCGACTGCAGTATTACAATATTATATTATTATAACAATGACCGTCATGAATAACATCATAATACGAAATCATAATGATAATAATAATTATTCGAAGGCGATATTGTTCTGTTATCTAACATCTACGTCACGATGATGTTCGTATGGGATCTTGTATCTTCGTATTGGTCATGTGATTTTATCTGATAACACCGAATTCTATACAATATTACGTACCTATAGACTATTGGCATGAGGTCTATGACATTCACGTGCCTATACACCTATACAGCTACCTCTGTTTAATAGTAATGAAAAATGAGTGGTATAACATATATATATATAGTTTATACTATAGATACAAAATAATAGGTCTCGTGATGCATTGATTTATATTGATAGTATTACCGACAATGCAGTTCCGGAACGTCGAAAAACCGTACACAAATTATTCACCTACGTGCCATTGTGTTGCAGTTTAAATAATATTATAATTATTTTAGTCGTTTTGCATTACCTATTTATACTTTGCATGGGTGCCTGTATACCGTGTAAATAATATGCATAGGTAATATTTCACGAACCGTTCCGTCCGTATGCGTTTCTATACAGGTGTTGTATTTTTTTTTTTTGTTCAATCATTATTATAGCTTCATTTTAACACTGCAGACTTCAAATCATAATCCCTGTTCGGTAGGTATCCATTAAATGAGTACCTATTAAATTTTGATTTTTAAATAACCATTTAAAAATTTAGAGCAGTAGATCCATTTTTAGACGACAACCCTTACTTACATCTTCTGTTTAAATTTAAGACTTTGGTAACGCATAAATGGTAAATTTAATATTAGCGTTAAATATTAATGTCATGCATTTAACATAAGATTTTTAGAAAACTATGTACTTTTTTAATCTAGTTATAAAAAAGGGGCTGATGGCTATTTGAAAATCAAAAGTTGATACGTGTTTATGGTGTTTGTAAAATAAGAGAATAATTTTGAACATATTAGATTCTGAGAGCAAAGGGTCATGTACCTATTCGTTTTAATATGATGTATGTTTTCTTCTATCTGTAAACAACTTTCTACAAGAAATATTGCCCCGATTATGAAGAGTAACATTTTTTTCTAAAAGCCAATTGTGTACTTTTGGTGAATTTAAAAAGTCATATTATTATTCCTGCGGTTTCTTAATAATTGAGAAAACCTGGAAAAGTTTACGACAGTTGCGATTTTATTTTTGTTTTTGTTGTAATTCGATTAAAGTAGTCGTAGAAACCTCGAACTTTCACAGAATACTAATGTCAGTATATTTTAGCCATGCACACATTTTTAAAACATTATGTTTATTTATGAGCATATTCATAGGCATTTGACGTAATTTTTATCGGAAAAATCATCGCATTTTAAAACACGTTCCCAATTAACAAATGATTTACCGTTGCTTACGGATATATACTATGCAACTATACGAACCCTTTACCAGATTTACCTGACGTTTGTAGATACATATTAGTTTAAACGGTTCTGTATTATAATGACTGAAAAGAAACCGCGACAATACCAATTTCACTCAAAATGTTCGCATAGATAATCGACTGATGGGGACGGGGAAAAAATCACCCTGTATAGCTGAGACACTTTGAATTATTATTAATGTACAAAGAATTTGATGCCGATATCGTCATGTAGCCGCGCGTGACTCATATTTTTAAAGACATCATCATCATAATAATAATCGATGTCGGTCGATTTTTCTACACTAAACGACCGTTTTTCGAACGAACCGATGATGATAATAATTATATGGGTAGCAGTTAATATTAATTTCCGACGAGAATATTTCTAAGGGCTACATACCCGGATATGATATATGATTATTATTATTATTATTATTACGGTAAACGCCGTACGCGACAAGAGAGTAAAGGTATTAAAACGTTATATTATCTCGTAAGTACTCGAGTCTGAAACCCACGCGGATATTGTCGTTCACATTCCGAATATTATTAATTAAATCTATACGGTGACGACAAAGGGCCTCCTGGGGATATGAGTATCAATTTCATCTATTCGCGTAATATATTACTATATATGCTCACACTCGAATTATGAGTACTCTGACGGAATATTTCGATTGAATTCGAAACCTTACTACGAGTATAATATTAATGTAGTACTTACGTCTTTTCGTTTTTTTTTTATGTATACAGAATTTTGATTTAGGATTTAGAGTATTGGCGCCGTATATTAATCGTGAGTATAGGTATATCGAATGCCACTCGAATCGTACCGATAATATTTAAATGTTATTCGAAACGTCGGAACGTATATAAGATTATTATATTTTTGATCTCGTCTGCGGAATCGTCGTCGATTTATTTTGAACGCGAGACGATGATATTAACGAGATACGTGTAATTATTTTTAAATTGTGGTATTTCACATACCTACTCATATCTCGCTTTAATAATTAAACGAACGGCACAAAATTTGTCTTACTGAACGCCAGATTTTCTACGCCATACTCTTTTGTAAAACAGAGATAGTAAACGCGGGTGTTGCGTCCTCTAAATATTGCATAACATGATAGCTTTTGAAGTGAAAATCCGAATAATCGAACAGTGACGTTAAATAATATACTTTACGGCTACGGCCTACTTCTTTCCAGTAAAAATATTCCGTGAAACTTCTTACTTATTTATCATATTCTACCAACACACTTTGATGTTTATAGTATAATTTTTTTTTGGAAAACTTTTTTTTTTCGAAAAACACATTCTAACGTAGTGAAAAATGTTCGTAAACTGTGCAGGGACCGAAAGTCGATCGTTTATTGAAATACGGCACTGCAAATTACGATCGAATATGTGTACACCTTCTTTGGACGGGTAAAATTCCCAGGATTCATAGTATAATATTGTAATGATACAATTCAAATGGCATACGATAATACAGTTACGTAAGGATGTTTTTGATGATTTTTTTTTCATATTTTTTTTTTTTTTTAACGCCTTATTCAATAATGAAAGTTATTGTTTCATTTGAAAATATATCTCGAAGACCACATGGTATCACGTGATTGATTTAATAACACGATATTATATCATTATGTGTTATATATTATATTATGATGTTGCAGACATTTAATCGCATCGTCCTTGGCCGCGCGTGTGTCGTGAGAAAAACCCTTTTGTACCCGGCTGAGTCTTTTGTATTTAGGACTTGAATCGCAGAATAATATACACATGACGAATTTATATATATTCGCCTCTATAGAATTTCGATGTGCGTTTCGACAAAGATAATAATACGGTTTTTGCTCTCAACAATATTCTTTCAAATTAATATTACGGTTTGATTAGTATTGCTGGCGATCATGACTACAATATATATTACTACCTGTATATATTATACACATAGGTATACCTACCGAATAATGGAAATTCTTCGCCGAACAACCGCCCCGGGAGGGACAGCGACGATAAGTTAAATAAAAATCGCCAAACATACAACATAATAATTATAACAGATTCTCCATTTTTTTTTTTTCCTAAGTATAAAGACTTATTTACCGTCTGCCCGCCATCTGGCAACACTTGGCTATGCTTACACTTGACGGGTATTATTTCTCCTCTAAATGTGTGTATATATATTTTTTATTTTTTCAATAAAATAATACGAGTACGAAGTATGTGAGGACAGTGATTAAAGTGAGGAAAACTTCGAAAGAGGATGTATATTTATTACAAATTTAGGAACGTTCTAGAGAAACAATTAATCCCAAGCAACCAAACTTTCAGAAAACCCATTATACAGACATAAGACTTTCAAAACGTATTTCACCCACACTCATATTTTGTTCATAAAACTGTTATGCTAATATAGGGTTTAAAAATAAACCGTACACCCTCCACCCAAAAAAAAATAAAATATTATCTAACTTATAATATGTCCGTTTATTAAAAATAAATTAAAACAGAGTCGGATTATGTATAGAATCCAGTAAGTATTAAAGAATTTGTTTTCAATAAAACTAATTCGAGTTTTTAGCATTTCATTAAAAGTATCTCAATTTACCTTAAATAAAAGGGGAAACTCCACCCACAATATATCGATTTAACAAAATATTGTTCGCGAATCCGTTTAGTACAATAATTTCCAATTGAATTATTACATAAAGCATCGAATGCATAAATAACTAGGTATTAGCGTGTTTTTTAACTCTGTTTCTTAACTCTTTATTCACTCTACGTCAAAATCTTAAACGTAAACACTTTGAATGGCAAAATCGTGAATGACAAAATCTTGAACAGTAAAATCTTGAATAAATAATTCCAGCAAAATCTTGAACGGTAAACTCTTGAAACAACAATATCGGGGATCTAATAGGTATCTAGTAGATCATCTTTTAAGGGATAAAAATTAACCGGTTCAAGATTTCGCCATTCGAGATTTTGCCGGCTCAAAGTTTTGCTGTTCGAGATTATTTCGTTCAAGATTTTGACGGCCCCCCAACCTGTATACAAGTATTATACGGATTTTCTGAGTCGCGTTGATTATCATAATTCAATAGCTCGTAACTCTTGCATATACATTTGAAACAATCTGTAATATCGGTTGTTATTATACTCGTAAATGGTAACGTGAGCGGTAACTTTTACAATATGCGTATAATAGTATTATAACGAAATACTCGCGTTTAATATTATGGTTGCAGTAACGTAGTCTTACGGTCGTGATCAAACAATCAAAATTATCAATTCTACTGCACACGATGGGAACGAGAATGACAGGTACCTACTTACCTAGGCAGGTATACACGTATAACGTATTATATTCGTAGAGAAAATTATGTGAACCGCAATAATAGACGTTTTATATAAAGGGAGACGGCAAAAAATTAACATTTCGTTCGTGTTATACATTTTTCTTAGACAATCTCAAGTCGTGGCTGTTACTACGGGTCGATATAAACACGGGAAGAATATTCACATTAACCATCGCAGTACCTGACTACGTTTTATTCTTGTATACATATAGGTAGTTAAACAAAACAAATTAGGTACCGACACGATTATCAACACTATTAGCATATAGTTAAATAAATACGAGTACACAAAGCGTATCGGGTTTAAAATCAATAACTTCGATGCGAGCGTTCGTGTGTTCGTTCGACTAACGTGTGCGTATCGCACACGTCAATAAAAATATAAATGCACGATTCCTTCGCATTTTACAAAAATACGCATCTACATCCACCTATCCATCTCCATTCGTTAATTTACTGCACGAGTCCTCGTACCCGTGCTTGCCTTATAATAGTAGTTAGTTTTTCTTCGGTCTATCATGCACTTTTCTAGTTTCCATCCCGGCTTAAATTGTGTTTCCTATGGAAGTTTTGAGAGACACGAATACCATATGTATATGGTGTATACTATGCATGCACTAAGTAAATTTTGTATATAAGGCTACAAAATTATTTTGGGCGACATCGAAGCCACTGTGATTTTTCCGAATCCGATTTCATTTGCAGTGTGTCTCCTTCGAATAAATTTCTCTTGGCCATATTATTATTACCTGCGAACAAATTCTAGACTATGCATATAAGTCTTCAACTTAAAATATCACCGTCAGCGTCTCGTCATGGTTTTATGGTTAGGTTAGAACCATAACCCGTTGTTATCGACCACACCGTCGTGTGCAATAGCTGGTACGACGCGGCCACCGCAACGTTTTGTCTTCTGAACAGTCGTAACCTCGTTTCAAAAGTTTAACGGTTCGGTCACGCGATTCACACTATACTACACACACAAAGATACGCATAATATTACAATATTATTATAAACGAATGCTTTTGAGCATTGTTCCTTAACGAACCTCATGCGAGTGTTTCAATTTACGCGTAGCTATGTGCTTAAGTTTTTATTAAAATAATCGTTATTTTTATTTTTTTTTTTTTTTTGAAACTGTCGTCGTCGTTTCTATTTTAACACGTTTTTGACCCACAGCCCAATACTATTAAGTAGTGTGCGGCCACACGCATAAACCATATTTGAAAAAAAAGTTTCCTCGCCAAGTTGCAAAACTTAAAAAATGTACCTATATAATATAATTTATATAATTTTTTCATTTGTATACATTGCTTTTTTTAGCATACCAAAAATGAATAATCAATAAAAAAAAAAATTTAATTTTCTAAAATCCAAGAGATGTGCATGACACCATGATTCGTGTAGAAATTTAAACTTACAAAATCGGGGATTCGGCAATTTTAATAAGGAATCCGAAGTTCCTGAACTAAATCTAAGTCTGATGGAAATGTTAGCGGCACCTAAAGAATTAATCCGCTGAAAAAATGGCTATATGCTGTGCTCAAATTGGAGGGGAGGAAGATATGTGTTTCATTCTAATTTCCGACCAAAATAGTTCTTTATTTAATATCTGGAATAAAGCGTACATGGTACGTAGAATTTTAATGCTTTTATACGATACGATCTATTTGTTCCTCATTCCTTTTTGGCGCTAGTGTCTTACACCGGAAAATACGATAATCCGTAATACCGTTCCTGCACCTATGTAGATAAAGTACGGTTAAAACGTTCGTTTTGGATAAATTGGTCATCGATTTTTTTTTTTTTTTTCCGTCAGATTTCGGTAGATCGAAATGTCCTTATTGTATTTATCGTCACTCCAATGTTCAATCGTTAATCGTATTCGCACGTACAAAATAAAAAATAAACTATACTTGAAAATATGCGCATTATTCTCGGGCGTAAGACGAAATGTACGTGTGCGCGTGATACCTGGTTATCAATACTTATCTGTTGCCAACTCGACGGTATTATAGTATTATTACGAGTTATTAAAAGAAATATTATTTTGGGAATTGAGTAGGATTAAGTGGGTTTTATATTCACTGTTGGGCCATGACATTTGGGTAAATCTGTATAGGCTAGTTATCGCGAGCCGACAACGAACGGGTAGAAACAAATAAAAATAATTGAGAAAATGATCAAACCGTTTAGGTTTCTTCGACTGCTGTGTAATACGCTCAAGTGCATATTATATATGAGTACCTACTATAATGGCGGTATACAATTTTTATTGTAATTTTTCATATCACGGTATGAAATTTAATCCACGTCATTTTTTTTTTTTTTTTTATCGACTCGCATTTCAGAATTTACACTACATAGTCGACTTAAATCCAAGGAAAAATACGCGTGTATTATATATTTTGCTTCGAATAATAATGTTCGTAATTGTTTAAAATTTAAAAAATTATATTTCTACACACACATATTTTGACCAGTACATAACCCATTTCTTTTTCTGTTATCTATTTAGTATTTTTTTTATCCGCCGAATGTAAATATTTAGTATAAACATCGTACTAAATTATTTTGTTCAAAATAAAAAATAGTCAAGTGTACACTAACTTGTAGTTTATCACTTCATTCAAATTACAAAACATTTATTATTATTATTATTTATTTTTTTTAATTATTCGATTTACTATAATATTATGACGACGACGTTCATACGAACTAGCAATCACCGCAATTACAGCAAATTCGTATGGCTGACATTAAAACATTTGTTTCCAATAATGCCAAATCATGTCATTGTACTATTTATAACGGGTTAAAGGTACCGTCAGAGGAAGTGCGTCAATAATTTATCGATCAAACCGCTTGGAAATATAACTTGCACAGAATTTCAGAATAGAAGCATATTATATAGAACTTTTATACTTGTATAATAGTACTACAGTCGTGTCTAAAATTCTGCATACTATATTTCACCGAAAATTAATTCAGAAATATTTCATTTAGCGATTTTAATAGTTTTATTTTTTTATTTTTAAACTGCCACGTAGTTAGTTTGCCCTTGGATTTCAATATATTACGCTCGTATCCACGTCTTATTAATTAGAAATGTATCGTAATATGAACACCGAGTACTGAATTTAAAATGCATACATGACAATTGGCAATACGAGTGCTATTACCTATTAGACGTTTAATATTCATTTCAACCAGACTAAACTCGCAGTGACGCAGTACCCGTCAAGTGGGAATAAAAATAAAAAATGGCTCAAAAGTAATGATGTAACATACAATTCAAGATTAGAGTTTGTTAATATTTTATTTTCAGTATTGTCCAAAAAAAAATACACCCGTTAACAGCACAACTTTGTCTCTAGAGCAGAATTTTTTCTCACCTATTTTTTATTTTAGAAATATTCTTTAAAAAACAATAAATAACTGGTTACTATACATAGGTAAAAACTGTACCTTGTATGGTTGAACCATTATATGCATAGATGCATGTTACAAACTATCGAATGTTTTAACAATATAACTCACACCGAATTATGAAAAGAACACAAATTGTACGTTATTAACTCTAAACGACAGTTTTTTGAACAAAAACATTCACAATTAGATATTAGATAATACACTGTACTTTTTTTTACATGGCATAAGTTGTTTTTTTTTTCAATTCTTTTCTATAGATACCAAACTATTATTGTTTGTCGGTAGAACTATAAGACAGAAATATTAGTGGTTTCAGTCATTTTACCTATGGATTAAATAAAAATATGTCGTATTATATTTTAACATATAAAGTGAAGTGACGAATTAATGCCTTCTGTTGGTTAATGGGCATACCACGACCCGGACCCCGATCAATTTGGTATTCATCGAAAATTGAAATATCTCGACTAATATATAATATATATATAATTATATATGACTATACTTCGTATTTTTGCAATAAAAAAAATATGATAAACCGGCCCCATTCAATTCGCGTAATCAACGAATATTCGGAAATTTAAACGTTAACGTACTTGATAACTGATAAAAACTACCTACCTAATTATTTCAGTTCAATATATTGACTCACAGGTTTGTCTGGGCTATGATAATCTATTAATCCTAAGCAGTGGTGGAATATTTTTTTACACAGAGGCGGGAAGTGTATTTCTATCTAGGGTAGACGCTAGATCTATCCTTCAATTATAGCGTCGACCAGCCAGTAGCGTATTTAGGATTTTTTCAGTCGAAAACATATTTTAATTTTTAATATCATGATAACGTGGTAACAACTGTGTATTTCGATTACTGCAGTACCTTAAAAGTATGATTATTATATTTTATTCGCTAGTATCCGTCGTTTATATTACTTTTAACTAATGAGACATGATAATTTTACCACCATAACTGTGCATTTTACACTATCATCATAAATTATAAAAATACAGTTTTTTTGATAATTTAAAATTATCAATTAATAATTGATAATTATACATTAGGTATAATGAATATTATAATTCAATAAGATATACATGAAAAAAGTCATGGGAACGGATCTATCCCAATGATTCGCTCCCATAAATACGTCACTGTAACCATTAAAAATTCCTTAAAAAATGCTCTGAAATATTTAAATATGTATAATATGTGTGATAACGCGATCGCGTCATATAGCACCTTGATAAGTAATATTTATAATATTATTGTTTTTATTATACGAGTGAAAATTTTTTACAGACTTATCGTATTGATAAATATTTCAAAAAACAGAAATACATTAATAGTTTAGCAATGATTAATAATATCATAATAGTATATTATGTGACGATATGACGTTTTTTATTGTTATGATAACATCACGCGTGAAATAAATGTTCGATACCGAATGTGCGTTGTAAAAGAATTTTGAAAACCATATTATGCAGCCTCTCGTTCTTAATAAAATTAACGAGTGTTATTGCTAAAACAATATTTAGTGCATTTCTATATATATATTTTTTCCAGATTCTGCAGTGTAGCGAAATTACAGTTTTATATATTTTTTCTCATATGAAAAATACTTTTTCGGAAGGGAAAAATACTCTGATTTTTTCATGCCATGTCTTAAAATATTCGAATTTTTCGCTTGATAGTACTTTATTTAAATAATTTGTCAAAATTCCTACTACTGTTTCCAAAAAATTGCTTTTTATATATTAACCTTTGGTTAGGCTTTTGCTGCAAATCAGGGTTACTTCCCGACAACATGGATGGCGTATCCGTGAGAATTATAAACTTTTAAATTTTTTATTGTTTTTGACGGTCGAATTGAAAAATTATCGGTCGGATTTATAATACTTTCAAATTGTTATCTTTTATTTGAAGTTTTATCTATGTAAATCTATCTATGTTCTTATATTTCATCATTATTCGGCGGCAGCCAGTGAACACGACCGAAAGAATAAACCACGTACAAAAAAAAAAATTAACCACTGCCCGGATAGAGGTTATAGGTATTAGGTCTCGGTCGTCGAAGGACAAATCACACGACTCTTCCCAGGAAATAACGATGAGTCGTGAACCAAGATAACTATATGGAATATCATTGCTCTGCTCGTGATCGGTTGTAGGCCAAGTGCAGTGTCAAAAAACCGTTGTAAACCAAAAAATAAAACCGGGCATACTTCGAACTAAGATTAGTAGCCAATAGGTATATTTATATAGGGTAATTTAATTTATATAATGATAGCAACTATAAACCGTTGTATTCAAAAAAAAACAATTCTAAGCAGTATAAGTAGTTTTTCTCCTATTAAAATAAGCCAAAGTAATCCGGAAATCAATGAAAATAAAACCGATGTACCTGCATGTATCGACATTTGTTGTCAGTATTTTAAAAATTGTACAGAAAAACTGCTGAAAATCTTAACATTAGGTTACGAATAAATATTAACGCCGGGCGAAAACTCGGCATTTTTTTAAATTCGACACTAATAATTTGGAACGTTTTTGTTGATCAAAAAAATCTTTCTCTGAAGAAAATCCAAAAAAAAAGACCACCGAGCGAAAAATCTGCATCTCTTAAAAGATGTGGGCCCTAATTAAAGTATGTCGTAAAAGAAAATCTGAGCATTTTATTAATCAAAAAAAAACCTATCTTAGTAAAACTATAATAGCTTCGTTATACGGCTATGAAGTAATAACAAATATCGTATATTCCGGGGCCAACATTGGGTTGCGCTTAAATGTGCAAAGGTCAGTTCATACAACCGACGCCGCATCTCTTAACGAAATGTTCGTATCGTCGAACGGCGAACGAGTACTTTATTAATTTTAATATGTTCTTGACGCGATTTTACCATTAAGGTCTAAGGACATAACAAAAAAAAAACAACTTTAACACTGTCGAAAACATTAGACCCTTATTGATATTACGCGCACGCGGGAAACCACTCTGGGCGTCGCCAGACGTTTTTTTTTTTTTACATAAAAACTATATGTATATTTGTATTCAAACTTTCCTCATATTTAACCGTTTACTAATATTATATTAAGACTAATAAACAAAAATAATATATAAATAAATCACGATACGTGAAGTAAAATACGAATCGCAAAGTTTTATGTAATTATAATAATATGATATATTTCTGTGGCTCTTTAAACAATTTTCCTTTCGGCCGCGAATTACTCGTGTATAATAATTATTTTTATTAAAGTGATTTCGTAATTTTTTTTTTTTTAGAAAAATATTCTATTTGCGAATTTAAGCGTACTCGTGGAATTAAAATAAAATATATTTATATATCCTTTTATAATAATTTCAGGATAATGTTTATAATATCGCATTTTAACAGAGGCGTGTTATACTATACTAATAATTAATATTGATGACGGTCTTCCAAATGTTCTACGACTTTTAAATTTGAACACTTTAAATTTTTTTATACATTTTAATGGCTACCTGAATGATGAAACATTTCCTACTAATCTACTGTGCGATACCCGTTTAAGGGAAATGGTGGTAAGCCTGATTAATATGGCATTTTAGACCAAAAGCCAAACAAAACTGGGTTGGGTTTTGAACCCAAAACGAAATTCGATTTTGAAAACGTACTATGATCCTTCGTGTTTTTTATTAGGCTACGTTGGAATTATTTTTGTAGATATTAATTATCTTTATCACAAGTGAAACCATTGCATTTATAAAAGTAAATTAAAAAATATAATCAAATTGCTTTATTGCAATTTTCAGTAAAATTACATTTCTATTACCAACATCTATATGTTAAAAAACTTAAAAAATCATAATCTCAATTCATAAATTTCATAGAAATCATAATTTCAAAATTGAAATCCGTTAAATACAATTATTACGGTTTTGTTCGGCTTTCATGTGTAAATAGACTAAAATATACACAGTCACTAATTCTTCTAATGCAATTATTATATCCGCCTTTTTGTTCAAATCTAACTGAATTTGACATAGTACCTACAAAAATATAGTTTTTTTTTTTAAAGAATTATAAATACATATTTAAGTAAATAAAACGCTCAACTAATTAGACGCTTACTATAGTAATTTAAATATCAAACAAATTTTAATCGACTAGCTGTACAGTATAAAATAATGGTGCTGAATGATATATAAAAATAAAACTATAGACGCAATTGCTAAAAATACTTCACGCGTTACGTACAAATGTACAAAAAATCACTTTCTGGCGTGAGTATTCTGCGCGTTTTTGTAATTTATTTATTTTTTTTTTTTTTTGTGTTAATTCTGTCCAATCCGTAAATTTCAATATTCTGGAACACATAATATTTTACTATACAATTTTTTTAATAAAATCTCGACTATCTACTAATACATAATTGAACATTTTCGCTCTCTTAAACCGTAATGCAAAATACATGACGATCGTATAATATTTTTTTTATAATCTAACCACACCACAGTTTATGGAAATGTATACGGAATTCGTGATAATATACCTGGCATACTGAATATCACGTTGCTCGCATTTCAGCGGAATATATATTCCCAGTGTACATCATATAATGTTCTCCATTTACTGACAGAAAAAAAAAAACTTGTTATTTTAAATACAATGTTATACAGATATAACCATCATAATATTTATTACGGTAATTAAGGTAATTGCGAGAAAAACCACGAGGGGGAACACATTTATTGTGCGAAATATTTTTAATAATATGGAAATTAACAATACTCAAGTTTTAAATTTTGAGCTGAGCTAGGAATTTATTGGGTTTACTATATTGGGCATCCTATGATGTATGCTTTATTCTCTCCGTCTGTGAGCAACTATTCTACTAGAAATCACGATACAATCAAAAAATAACAAGAGACAAAAATTTATCTATTTTCGGAGTATTTGAGGTCCAAAAATTTTCATACAAAATAATTAAAGTAGAATTTTTTATAAAACTGTACAAAACAAAATATAAATATGAGCTCAGGATTTGAACCTGAGACCACTGGGTTGGAATGTATTATTAATGTCAATCTGCCAACGTATATTTATAATGCATTGCACACCGATATTTTTTCGGAGTACTTAGGTATTGATAGAGACTGATTTTTTAAATTATATTCGAGATTTAAAAATTTTAAAAAAGGAAAACATGAAAAGTGCTGAGTCTATAACCAGACCGTAACTAAGTAAGGAAACGATAGAAAAAATAATTTTGAAAATTGGTGCAATACTTTTTGAGCTTATCCCAAATAACGAAAAACACTGCTCTGTTTCTTTTTGTACATATACAATAATGAGATGTTGGGTTTTAACTAGAGTTTTAAAATTTACGGACAATTTTAAATCTTAAAACCTAAAACGATTTTTTTTTTCTGAAAAATAGTACAACCTATATGTCTTCCTTTTCCAAACTTTAAAATAGGATGCAATGGTCTAGTATTACTGAATTTGGATAATGCACTTTGAAGACAATAAATAAAAATGCATAGAATATTTATAGTTGTAACTAAAGCACTGATTAATGAAGAGTAATGAACATGGTTTGGATTTTGAGGCAATTTCAATGATAAAGACGGATATACTTCGTATGACGAATAGGCCACTGTTTTAGGAGAGAAGTCGGAAATGTAGGATATAGAGGGGATCAATTTTAACGAAAAAATTTCGGAACAAAGTTCGGTTATACATGTTTGAAAAGGTCGTAATATTGACGATTTCCATCAAAATTTGACATTAAATATTTTATAAAACAAAAAAATGTTAACATTCCACATTTTATTTTTTTTTAACTACCAATTATGACTCTATTACTAGCTTTGCAATAAATAATTTGTTTTATATTAATATTAAGATATTTAAGCAATCCGTAATAATAGATTACATTGATATACAATATATTATAATAAATAACCAAAATGTTCGTGTATAAATGCGTAAATTCAGATATTACCATATTTCCGGGTTTCTCTCTAAAATGTACTCGGGCAATATTATTGTGTCATCTGCAAACATTGTGTTATATTCGAAATAATTACCTTTCGTATATTTTATCAAACGCTCAAATTTAATATTATCTGCGTTTTCATTTGATAATATTAATAATTATTAGTATTGAAATTATAACATACATAGTTCTATATTGATACAATGTAAACTGTGGAGTGTGCATGACGTTTAGAAATCGATTTTAAGCTTCTATACAATGGAGAAAATGTTTCAAATGCAGCTATAAACTTCCTTTTAAGTTTTGAACTCGATATTTGAATTTAATACGTATATACAATAATCTTACATAATAAACCGAAAACCAATGCATTTACTCCGCAGTAATATTATTAACAATATTAAATTATCAGTTATTCAAATTACGATTTTAGTTTAAATAATGAACATCATCATTTTTATAAAAAGTATATATATATGTGTATCGTTCGTTCGTATTTAATTGCAATTTACAGATGTATATATTTATCTTTACCTCTAAATACAATTAATGTCCATCGCTGTTCCACACGCAGCCTCCTCCATTATATTTTATGGTTTGCCACTAATTTCAGTTTGTATAATCTTGGTTTTATCCTCCTGTGCTCCATGCATATTATACTTCTCTCATTATACCTGGTGATCAATTTAAGTGGATACACTCATTATCTCGGAAAGTATTAACTTTTTACTGAAATTTGTTTTCCAGAAAATTTAAGAAACAAGCTACTCTACAATTTTATATTTATGTTATTTTTGGGGGTAAAACCACTGTCTACTTTTGATTTTCAAATGGCAATCTATCTTAAAATTTCATAAATTGATCGAGTAATAGATAAATTATATGTTGATGTTGAAATTTTCGATTTCGGTTAACCCATTAACGAGATATTCTACTTTTAAATTTGAGTAAAGGGAGAGTAGTGATACATTATTAACATTATGAAAACGACTAACTGATGCTTTTACTACAGGTAATTATATTCAAATAAAAAGATAGATTCATCTGTCTATAACACTTTTTCTCTTATACTTAGACCGTAAATTGTAGTTTTATGTTGAAATTGGCGTTTAAATAGAAATAACAAAATTTAAAGAGAAGAATATTGTCGAGAGCTTTACGTTGCTTTTTTCAAAAAGAAGCTTCATATTACCGTCTTCGAAAATATACTCCCCTTTAAATTTATGATCATAGTGCACCTAGTTTCCTAAACTGTAAATGCACATCAAGACTCAAGAGTGTATTGGTTGTTACATATGGTAAATTATTGTCAATTGATATTTAATTTTTTAATATTATTTATATTTGAGTCAATCTTAGTCAATGTGCAGGTTTGGAACGTAGTAACGATTGTTTCAATTTTACCAATTAAACATCGGTTAAAACATTTAGTTTCATATTCGTTTAAAATTCGTATATAAAACAGCTTTCATCGTTTGCAGCATTTAGGTTAAACATTGGCCATTTTAAAAATTTAAATGGCTGTTTTTATCTATCATATATATGACCGAAATATAACACGTGTTTTAACAAAACGGTATACGTTGGTGTATAGTTGGAAAACCAATTTCAATTTTAAATTTAAAGTTTATTGTACATAAATATGTTTATATTTGTCATTATTGTACCAACATCAAATGATTATTTTTTTTTCGATGATTTTTTCGCAGCCGAAATAGGGACTTCCGGAAGCGAACGTGGTCATTTCGGGCCATGGCAACTGTGCAAACAATCGTACTACGGACGGACAAAATGCGGGGACTTGATATCCCGGTTTCATCCAGAAGGTGAGTATTACAATGACGGTCGTATACCGACGTAGGTATAACCTGGCTTTTTATAATCGTTTCCTCGACGCGGGTACGCGAACCGTGCGAATCATCGTCAGTCGAGCTTGATAATACTAATAATTACATACGACTATACGAGCGTGTCTACTTATATATATCATGACATTATAATACGATGTTTGTCGACAGAAACCGTGAGGATAGCCGGATACTTTGCCATAGCCGGTACGCTGTGTCTGGCCGTATTCTGCTTGCTGAGCATCATTCAACTGGCGATGGTCGTGTCCAAGGAAAAAGTCGTGTTGGCCTATAGCAAAACCGTCATCACCAAACTGGTGTTCGCGTTCGCAGCAAGTAACGCGCTTGTTTTAAATAACTATTATAGGATAAATATCATTCTAAATCAAGGACTCGGACCGAAATAATACTTTTCGGTCAATATAATTTTCGTTGTTCTATAGTTTGTTTCGGTTTAAAAGTATAATTTTTAAAAACGGTTTTCAAATCGTGAAAATCGGTAATTTTGTTTTTTAAATTCTGAGCGAACCGAGGAATGTGCCTATTGGTTTTACAATGACATTTATTTATTTTTTTTTTTTTCTGTGACTCTTTTAGTAGAAATTCCATTTTCGGTTTCGTTCATGTACATTTTATGATACAACCGATGAATGTAGTACCTTTTTTAACTGGTTTGAGTCCTTGCTTTAAACCGAGTTTTTACCAAAGCTGGGCATTAACGAGTTAAAAAGTTAATAATTAAATTAATTTCAACTTCTAATCTTGCTTTTTAAAGATTTGATTTTTTTTACATTAACTTAATACATAAAGAATAAAATTTGAATCTCATCGCAACAAGTTAACGGTGTGTTATTAAGAGAGTTTAAAACAGGTATAGATGTAGCAGGTAATTTACTATTGCTAAAATAATTTCACATGTGTTTTAACGTTGATCAAAATATTTCAAACCCCGGGCTTAATCATTTACCCTATGAGAATAACAAATATACAAAAAAAATAAATTCAGCTAGAGTTTAAAAGCTAATTAAAAATTAAAATTTACTCTAACTTATCTCAATTAATTAACAATAAAAATGCACTTTTAACTTGTCAACTTAATAGGTTCTTTAACGATTTTTTTTTTTCATATTTCATCAAATTGCCTGGAGCTTTGGTTTTTGAAATATATATCTATATTATACCATAACCGTATTTATAATATTATTTAGCTCTGTTGGCGATCATCGCGGCCGGGTTGTTCGCTCTACAGACCGACGACAAGGACAACAGTTACCAAGTAACTAGAGGAGAATCGTTTTATATGCAGGTGAACGAAACGAATATTAATATTATACGAATACGCCTACCTTATATTCACTGTTACATTATTATCCACCGCCGACTTTTTACGCGGGATTATTCGATATAATTATAACCGTTGCTATACAACTGCGACGTGTATAATAATGTAATCAGTCAAATCCGTGAGAACCGTTGAGGAAAGGAAAATCCTTAAAACGGTTTTTATCGTTGTGTAGGTATAATATTATACCCGTAGAATATAGAATAGCGTATATATAACCTAATTCATGAGACATGATCTCATTCTTCGGGTAATAATAACTGTGAGCGTGTGCGCGTAAATTGTAAGTACATGTTATTAAAAAAATAAAATCTCGGATTAATATTCGGTTCAGTTTTATCGGTACCGATAGTGATGTACTACTGCTGTGGTAATACAAATAAACAATAGTTAGTGTCTACATTAAATATCATAATTGACAGTGTTTTATAATTTGTGCAATACGTTACGATTCGTATCGACCGCACTATGCCCAAAAACTGACTTATAAATATTCACGTCTCGAATATCATCTCGGTGTTTTATCTAATTTTTTTTTTTTGTTTTAATATTAAAATATTTATCTCGTTTGTAGTTTAAAAACATTATCGACCAAAAACCATATTATCTAAAATAGAAAAAAAAAATAGTAAAATAAATGTAAGTATTTTATAAAATACGCCTCGCATTAATACGTATATAACATGTACATAAACGTGTGCTATAAAATGCCTATACATACCAAGATAAATAATTAATTCCAATAAACATATAATACCCATATAGAATGCACGGACAGGATGCAAAAACTGGGTGTTGAACGCTTGTGTCTCGCATCGTTAAACCTCGGATCGAGCCCAGTGTTGTATAATTATTTTTAAGCCGTGATAAATAATCGAATTCAAAAAAAAGAAAAGAAAAAAAATACAGGTACTATACAGTGCTTTACATAGAACTCATAGTCCACGTGCAGTTTTTCAATTATTACTAGTGTGTGATGAATAAAATCGGATACGTCCGTTCAGAACCTAAACTACGGGTAGATACATGATTATGTTTATAATTTATAACGTTATTCTAAAATTGCGTTAAGAGGATATTTTTCGTTACCGTCTTACAAACGCACGATATAGTTAAAACATGTTTATGCATACTAGGGGCGGAACCGTATTTTTTCGGGAAAAAATTTCGTAGAAACCGTATTCTGTCGGAAAAATAATTAGTCGGAAAATTATTTTTACCCAACGACAATAACATGCAGCCACAAACTGCTTATGATGAAATTATATTAAACAGACAAAATACTTTCCGACGAATTATTTTTCCGACAAAATACTTTCCAACAAATTATAGCCCTCAAACACAGAACTCATTTAATTTTGATTTTAGAGTAAAAACATTTATTATAAAATCAAAAAAAGAACAATATCCCAGAAAACAAGACGTTGCGTTTTTCCCATTTTCTCTGAATATTACAGTATATTTACCGTTTATAAATAACGACTTTTTCAAGGTTTTTTTAATTCGATAAAACTTTTAAAAGAAAAAATAATAACTTTTTCAAAAAAATGCAACGTCTGCCCTGCGGAATATTGTTCTATATTAGTTTTAAAAAAGTGCTTTTACTTTAAAACCAAAATTAAGAGAGTTCTGTGTAGTCTGTGTAAGCATGTTTTTACACTATCTTATGTTTGTTAGAAATAACAAATGCGTGTATGCATCCAAATTTAACAATTTACATGTCTGTATAGATATTTAGACTCTAAATTTACTCTAAATTTTAGAGTTAATAGAAAATAAGCGAATGAAAATAAAATAGCATTTTTTTAAATTTACTCTATTATATTTATCTATATAAATCTTTACTTGCCTAATCAAATCATACCCCTTCTTCTTCGGTTCTTATAGGTCATTTAGGTCCATTACAACAACACATACATGCTATCATCTATCCTAGAGGGTAAGGTTAAACTGTACTTTTTTTAGACGAATATTGCTTTTATAAAAAAAAAAAAAAATAAAGGTAATTATCGAATTGCACTTAGATCGAAAAAGACAGTTCAATAAAAGTATTCAAAGTATTAAGTACTAAGTACAAAGTATAAAAAGCATTTTTTGAACTAGTCAAATTGTTATTTTTAATACAATTATGGAATTATGTAATAATCTAAAACCGAAACGGGAAAATGGCTTCGTATTTACATTGGTTTACATTTTTTTAATATAGTTTAAGTTGGTGACACTTATACAAAGGATTACTAATAAAGTAATGTGGGGTGGGAAATGAGTGTTTTATAAATATTTGAATAAGAGTTTTTTCTTAAAATATAACGTTTTTAACCTAAGTGCAGTACGACCGTTTGATTTACATACGTAGTGCAATCTGATTACTCCCATCCTGGCTAATGTTTCTCCGCCTTATATTTCAATTTATATTCGATTATTTCTATATTTATCAGCTATCCATCTATGTTTTAGTCTATCCAGTGGTCTTTTGTAAACTGAATTGTTATTTTTTAAAAGAATATCAGAATAAAATTAACGAATTATTATTATTTTATACATTTACAGTTCATTATATTATTCTTAGAGAACGTTCTTAACGTAACGAGATTTTGTTAAGTTCAATCCGAATTAGTCTTTGAGATTATAAAATTACCAAAATCAATATCTGGTTTTAGACAGGATTTTATTTGATGTCGTATACAAAAACCAAATTCGGAAAATGATTGTTGAATAACCAAAACATTTCCATTCATAAACTATGAAGTCCGGTATCTCGGTTTTACTGTAGATTGCTTCTATACGTGATTTGTTACCTTTAAAAAAATACGAGTCAAGTATCATTAAATTGTACCAGCGTTTCTTTAGATAAACATAGGAATGATGATAAGGTGTACTTCGGAAAAACAAACGTAATTGGTCATTGTCTTTAAAATCGGTTAAAAATGCTAGGAGCATTGATAATAATAAAATTTAAAAAAAAATACTATGAGCTCTGCTACTATTGTATCGTTACATTCTGTAGTATAAATATTATTTAAACGAACAAAACATCCCCAAATATATCAAGATATCATTGAACAACTGAGATCCAAGTCCAATTAATGCGCGTGGAAGTTTGGGAGCTTAGACCCACTCCCAAAACAAATCTATGCCCCGCCCAATTTAAGTCTTTATCGAATAACCATTAAATATACATAGTCAATATTAACTAATATTATGAAATGTTGAGCCGACCCCCAAAAAATATTTGGGTTATGACGCTTATGGTTATATCAGCCGCATAAAAATCAATATTAACATACTTTTTTTTCTTTTTTTTTTACTCAACAGATCGGCCTAATTATATTAAACTTTTTGCTATTTGTCGCCGCAATATACGATTTGATATTTTCCCGTCGCTTGGGCGGTGACCCGACCATCAGCCATCGAGATCCGTCCGGAGTGGAAGCCACCACGTTCAACAATCCGTCCTTCAAGGAGAAAAGGTCAATGAATCCGAGTGAGTTAATAATATTACACATCGTGAAATACGTATTGCTAAAATATACGGATATGATAATGTCGTTATAATAATACAAACGATATTATTCTAGCTGTTTTTATAATAAAGATTCGACGGTAAATATTTTATAATAATTTGAAATATCGCGGTGTAGAATGGGTACCTAGGTATATACACTCTTACTTTTTTTTTCGATTTACGAAACCCAGACCGATAAAACAAACGCGGTGTTGTATAGTAATGAATTTCTCTTTATTGTTTCCACGATTTACTATAATATTATTTTGTCATCAAATATTCTGTTTGACGAGTTAGGTATTATACGCCGCGTGAATAAACTACCGGAATAATAATACAGAGGAATATCGGATTATAGAAAATGTTTACACGCGTTACAATGTATTTTTTTTTCTTTCTTTCTCTTTTATCGGATCCGTAGCCGACCGTTTGGAATCGCTCGTATTTCGTGACAATTTTTTAAAATTTATTCGCCTGTAGCTGCTAAACTGCAGATACCTCACAAAACAGAACGTTATTCATGGCTGAAAATTTACCCGCGTTAACCCTCATTTGGGCGTGATATTGTTATTACCTATTATTTTGCATTTTCAACCCTCAATGTGTGTGTGTGTGTGTGTGTGTGTATATATATGTATGTGAGATAGTGAGTATACGTAACGAGGAAAGTAACATACACGACTAGATACTTTTATAGTATTGACCTTCGTTTAAAATCACGGGACCAAACCGGAAAATTAACAATAACCGATTATAATTGTTTGCAATACCAAACTATTTGTTGGTTTGAATTTCAGATAATAACATATAAAAGCCAGTCCTACGGAGTTAAATATATAATAAAAACGATATTTCAAATTGTATTCTAAAAATCCGGATAATTAAATAAATTTCAACAATTTTACCCCAATAGGTAATTTATTATAAAATGCTCGCCAAAACCATGATGTATTATGAATGTATACCACATATAGCATATATCATGGCCGTCATGCAAAAGTGACCTTGTATAAAGAAAACATGTTTAAATTCCTTATTTCATCCCCGTACATGTCCGGAAAAAGTTTCCAAGTGAAATCATAAATAGTTTAGGAACCACTTAACACATAATATTCTTGTTTAAAATCAAAATTTTAAATTTAAAGAAGAAAAATTAATTTTTAAATCACTTGATCACTTTTTGCATGGCAGCGACAGTATATGCCGCATAGGTACATACAAGTATACAAGGGCAGCCATACAGGGTGTCCCATAATGATTCGACACTTGAAATAACTTTTGTTCTATTCGATATTTGTTTTTAATAATTGGTATGCCTTCACACTACATTGAATATAATAAAACATATTTTTTAGTCGGGAATACTTAAAATAAAAAAAATAAAAGTAACAAAACCATTTCATAAAATAGATTTTTAAAAAATGTTTGATGGTTGAAACTTTTGTTTATTTACTTTTATTCATTGAGCACATCTAATAACAAGAATCTTCTTTTTCAAGAGTTAATATTATATAATAATAGCTCTGACTACTAATTAAATGTTATAAACCACAATAATATTGACATTTACAAAATCTTCAAAAATGTACAGACAACAAATTACTATACCTAAACAAAAGTTTCAACTACTAAAAATTTTCTAAAAATCTATTTTACAAAATGGAAATTTTTAATTATTTTGAAAAAAATTATAGTACGTTTATTTTTTTTACATTTATTAGAATATAGGTATACAACCTCTAATAAAGGTTATAATAATCAGGTATATGAGCTAAACAAATAATAATATAAATGACCTGAATGTTCAATTAGAGTATAGCTACCCAGCAGTAACATTCAGAACGGTAATTTGTTAGGCTATTTTATTATTAAATTTTTTATTATTTTTTTTTTTTTTTTTTTCATATCAGTTTACTTAAACTGAACAACGAAACCAGTGTCTCTTAAAATGTATTTAAATTTTAAATTTTTTATTTAAATTTCCCGATCTAACAAAAAAAAATTGATTAGGTATAATATAATATTTTAACTGTAGGGCAGAGGCATACTAATTATTTAAAAAATAAATATATTACAAATATTGAATAGAATAAAAGTTATTTCAAGTGTCAGATTATTGTTGGACACCCTGTTATCAGGTGTCCATATAACTTTTGCTCAGATAATATGAACAGATATATGATTTTGGGTTATTCGGCCAAATTAAAATCACCCATAAAGCGGCACGAATTCAAGGGAACATACAAATTTGTTTTTTAAAAAGCAACTGTGTATAGTTGATAATTCAGCATTTTCGTGATGGTTGCAAAATTCGCTTTCACGATAAGTTTGAGAATTATTGCACTTAAAAACTTCAAAAAAAGCCTTAAAAAAATGCGCTTTAAGCAAATAATATTATACCAAATGGTAGAAGGGTTTAAGTGGCCCCTGTTTAACGAATCTAAATTATTAAATATGATTTTCTTACAAGACAAATTATTATCAAACATTTTTTTTTTGATTAAATAAAATTGTACGTATTATAAAAAAAATAACTTTGGGTTAATAATTTGTACAGCCTTAGGCAATTGTATTTAATAATATAAAGCCGTTAAAATGGAGGAGGTCATTTAAACCCTTCTAAAATTTGGTCTAATAATATTCACTTGAAGTGCTTTTTTGACGTTTTTAAGAGCTTGTTTTGTGAATTTTTCGTACAATAAGCCCTGAATCCTAATAATTACTATCACGAACTATATCTTCGTGCGAACATATAAACATATAGTATAATAACTATCAAACTATCGTGAAATATCATGCACGCGAGATAGTTATCGATAGTACTGTTGTGAGACTGTACGAATATGATAGTGTATCTATCGCCGTGTGAACGCATACTATCGCTCCATAATTTACTGTCGCCTTATCGCACTTTTACAGACGTTTCTATCGACATTCGCTATACAATAACCGTGGCTTCTAATACTTGTACACCTTTAATAATATCATCAAGTTACAGTTACTATCATAATGTGGGCTAGGTTTTACGTTGTGCGAAAAATAAATCCATAAAAAAAATACGAGTATGTTACATGTGATATTATTTTTATAAATCCTGTGTCCACATTTTAATGCGGCGACACTCTCCTTAATGAAAAAAATATAAAAGCTCCACGTATATTGGGGTACACGGAATTCTTATTTTGCACGGTATTATGTGTTTCGCGTTGATTTTATCAAAAACACAGATTACGCAGGCCCCGTAGACGGTATACCACCTAATTAGACGCGTTGGCTGTCGTCTTACAGTCGAGAAATATTGTAGCAACTTATTATGCACGAAGCGCACCGTTTCGAAGGAATTATATAAAAAATAATACGTGCACATGTCATCGTATAACTTCGTATATTATAGGGATGGTTGGGACGGGAAAAATTACTATCCAGTAAAAATAAATATTTGGACAAAAACTTGGATAATTTAATGATAGAGATGGTATTATAGTAGAAGACGCGTGATTAAATAGTAGAGTGAATTTCGATAGAGATGGTTGTGAAAGTGTGACACGACAGTAAAATAAAACGATATTAAGTGTCCGCACGGTAATGGCGATTCTCGCGAAAGTATAACTGTCGACAAAAATGCTTGCGAGATAGTGTAACATTTACTGTTACAGAAGTCACAGAAGTGTGACATTTGCTCTCGCGATAGTTCGGCAGTTTCTTTCATCGTCTTGCTCACACGGCGATATTAAGCGCATAATATATTATGAACTATCCCGACAATAACTGTATTGTCGTGTGAACCGAACTTGAGCTGAAAGTTAAATTTAATCAAAATATCCAAATACCATGTAATACAATACGCAATAGGTATTTTTTTTTTCAGCATTATACAAATATGTACACAATATTGTTGCTTTATGACATACAACAGATAAATTTTCAAGAACAATATTTGATTAAATTTAGAATAATTTCAACATATTAATATACGAGTATTATAATATATAAGTAGTATATATAGCGTATTTTAATGTAAAGGTGAAATATTTATTTTTATTTTTTTTTTTTTTTTGCGCTCCCGGTCATAGAACCGTCTTTTAATAATAATAAAAAACGTACATACTATACTTTGAACTACTTATGTTCGAAATTCCATGATTAAAAAAAATAATGAAAACTCGTATATCCCAAACAAATATTTGTGTGTGTATTTTGTTCCAATCGCTAAAGTTATTGTTACGACAGGCGATATACGTATAGCAGACAACTGATATTTTATTACAGATTGCCGTATAAATTCGTTCGAAAATGATATCCGGTCAAAATAGCGAAAACAATAACCGCGAATGTAAAAATCGCGAATTAATAATGGCGAAAATAAAAATAGTAAATTTTTTTGAATGCAGATATTGTGTAACCATAATTTCTTTAAGTTCATTTAGGTATTTAGGTATTAATAATTTGGGTATTCAGTGATAATAGTTAAACGAAAAATAAACGATAATTATAGGTAGGTATGCCGTGACAAATTATATGCTACACCTTTTACAAAGTTCTTAAATTATAATAATTAATTTATACATAAGTTTCATTATTATACATGATTGATTATTTTAAAATTCACTATTTTTATTTTCGCTAATATTAATTCGCGATTTTTACACTCGCGGTTATTTGTTTCGCTATATTGGCCTAGACCTGTCGGAAATATCAAATCGATAAAAAACAAATCGTGTGATGTTTGAAGTTATGCATAAATGCCGTAACAAATGTTTTCTAATGATCCCGAAACTCAAATGCACTCCTATCTATATTTAAACTTATGTGTTAAAACGGAAACGCGCCAGTGACGGCGAAGTACAGAATTACATGTCGGTCCCTCGGAAAGGTAATTTAGACAGTTCTCACTGTACATGGTGATTCTTTTATCATGTGATCCAATAATTTTTGGGAAAATTTGATGAATGAAATTCGATTTCTGTACTTTACCCTTAACTCAAGCGGAGAACGACATGTATTTGTTGCTATAATACGCATGAGACAGACAGACAGACAGAGAAAACGAATTGAGTGCAGAGGCCCCGGTCTTATACAATCGTGTGCGGTTTAATCACGTCCTGTGCTGGGATTTCAGGAGGAAGCAGTGGCGGCATTTCGGTGACCAACGCCAGCGGAAAACCGTACCTGAGTGGCGGTGGCGGCGGGGCCAACGGCAGCATCATGTCGGTGACGACGACCTTGAGCTCGAACGGGTCGACCATAACGCCGGCTATCCAAAGCCCGCTGCGGTCCAGCCTGAAGAAACCGCGGTCGGCCAACGGGAACGGGGCCGGCGGCGGCGGTCTAGGAATTCAAAATCCCGGGTTCAGCGGCACGTCACCCACACTGTCCCGGAACGGGAGCATAAAAAAAGTCCGCATACAGACCCAGAGCACGGCCGTTTAGATTAATAATATTGAAGTATTAATATTATTAATTTCAAATAATATTATAATAATACGCATCATAATAATGTCGGGCTATCAGAACGGTAGTGTATTAACCCGAAAAAAAAAATGGGATTTTGAGTTATACCGCTTTTCACGTGGTAAAAATGCAGTAGTTCTTTACAATCGTACTGCACCGCATTTTTTTCGTATACATACACAAATTTAATAAGTTAAACGAGAAAACTTCTGGCAAGTTGGTCCGCTAAACAAACGTATTGTAAAAAGTAGAAAAGTAAATTTAGTCGTGAAAGAATTTTTTTTTTTTTTTTTCACTTTTTATAAACGATAATTTTAATTTTAAGCTATACAAAATCCGAAATTGTACGACGTTAGATGAAACGCTTTTTGGCTCTACGGGTATTTGAAAACGAGCTTAAAATCTTTGATTTCTCAAACCGCGGTTTCTCGAGTTATTACACTACTGTTTTGATAGTGCGAATTATGTATTCGTATATTTTCTAAATATTATCTGTATAATAGGTCCAAGCTCGTATACGCATATTATTATTATAACGATTATTATTATTATTATTATTATTATTATTGCCTATATTATATATATATATCATTAAAATGTCTTCGCGGATAGTAATTAATGTTCGCCGGTTATATTCGTGTCCGAAAAACCGTACGGTATATCATTTATACGTTATAAATAGTGAGCGGATTTTTAGGTTCTTAAAATCAGAAAATATTCTTTTACCTGTATATTTGTTTTCTTTGAACATGTATTGTTATTTTTCATTCGGTCGAAAGCCCGTTCCGTTGTACTTAATGCTGCTCGTTCGTGCTGGATAAACCAAATACATTTTTGTGGAAACCTAAATCACCGCTCTCTGAACAGGTGTTAACCAGGCCCGGTCCAAATCGGTGATACTAGGTTACTGTCGTGAAGTTCACAACCATGACGATTACTGTCGTCAACGTGAGACGATAGTCACTGTCTAACCATCTCGAGAATAATAAAGTAACTCGCCGTTGTGACTCGTAGTACGTATATTATACTGTTATCGTTCTATTTTATTATAATATTACACTCGTGCATAATAATACACTGTCGTCTGTTGTGTGTGACGGGTCGATTAATCAAAATTCACTGTACGGAATAAATTCATGAGAATACAATCCCGGTCAGTTTTCGGGGTTAAATTTAACCGCAGAATATAAATTATCTAATAAAAGAAAGAAAAAAAGTTACCCATCCAAAGTTGTTATTATATTTTAAAAGATCACCGATGAATAATGACATTACACTTGAAAATGAATCTATGTTACGGAAAATAATTAGGTTGAGCTGTTTCCTGATAGCAAAACTAGGCGAAAATAGCCTTCATACCATCGTCAGGCTTGCGACGTTTTCTTCCATTAAAAACAAGCGTTCAAAAATCTCGACCAACCATTTCGCGTTTAGTAGATTGAAATTTTGATTGAATCACTGAGACTACTGATGTACTCACTCCCGTCAATTTGTGCACTGCAGATGCTGCTTTACGATTTCTTTTCGATGAATCGAACGATAAAAATTCCATTCTCGTTAATAAAACGAGAATTATTATTAGTTACTTATTAGACCGCACGTACCTACGGAGCAACGGCGACGTGCGAAATTGAATAATTTATTTATAGCAGAATTATTTATAGAATCATATTTAAAACTATTATTTTTCTTTTATGCTCTACTCGTTTTCATAATATTTACTAATTATATTTTTTTATTTTTTCTGTAATATAGTATGTACTATATTCGTTAATACGAAATCGCCAAAATATCGTTCAAAAATATTTTTTATATTTTATAAGATTCGAATATCATTCCGAAATCCCGCAGGATTTCCAGAGTGGTTCAGGGTGGAATACTCTATCTGAATCGGTTTATTAATACTGAATTTATAAAAGGGGCTAAGTCACATTTTGCAAAATGGTTTTTCGATAAATTCATACTCCGTTGTTATAGACGGATCAATTATTTAAAAAAAAAAAAAGTCAAGTATACTACGTTAGTTACTTCAATTGACTATAATCAAATTGGTTTGTGTATGAAATGTGTTGCGCAGCGCACGAAACCCGTAAAACTTCTGAAAGTTTTGGTTTTTACACTTGGCCACTTATCATAAATAACCGATTCGGCTATATCGCAACAAATTAGTACCGTGTCACGTCTTCTCTTGCTATCGTTCTATAATGACTATTGTATGCCATATCGTCTGGACGCGCGTCGTCTCCGCGACGGTTATACTCGTATAGTATACTATCGTGACAATGGCAACGCTGACCATCGACAATAGTTTAGTAACTAACGTGATCGTGTGGAACGGGCCCAGAGCAGATTTGAATTTTTCGGATTTCAGATGGTATAACGAGTATAACAAAGGTAGCCTAGCCTAATATTCACTCTAACAACGAATATTACAATACGTTCACCCGCGAGACGCACAATCACGCACGGACACAACCGTAGACGTAAATAGGAGACGTGGGGGGGGGCTCAACCCCTCCGCCAGCTGTCTCGAGCCCTACATATCGTATTGTATACCAATTGATTCGGCGATGATAATGCGCGTGCGTGCTCTAAAACCTGTCGGGCTCGAGCCCAATATTATAATGATATTGTGACATATCTACGTCTGGACTCTATTTACGTCTATATAATATAAACATAGTAATATATTGCGCACGCGACAAACATCGACACGACGCACCGATTTTTTTAACATTAATTATTATTATATTTGTTTCGTAATTGATATTATTATTATTATTATTATTATTATTACATATAGGTACTTTACCTCTACCTATACGTATATATATATATATATATATATAAAGTTGTTATATTTAATCAAAAAAATTGTTTTTTTTTTTTTTTTTTTTTTTTGTTTTTACTGGCGTTTGTTATATTATCATGCTGGTATTGTGCCAAATTTAATTTCGGTCTCCAACGAATATACGCTCGGTATATATACCTTATATATACTCATATAGTGTGTGTTATATAGTTTCCATTGTTTTGTCCGTATGTAAGACTATGTATTATTATTATATTAAATTTATTTTTCGCTCGCCGTCTAACGTAAGTATCCTAACCTACGTTTTCCCGAAACAAAAAAAAAAAAATCTACGCGTTTGTACGTTGTACGATTATACTCATATTATTTAATATCACATCTCGGATCGTCTTTATTTTTTCGGATGCCCCCGAGGCCGGATTGCCGTTTCGAAACTATAATATTATTGTTATTACGCTTTTTGCGGTTGAACATTTCGATATCCGTCTGCAAAGGGTCGTCTATGGCATATATATATGTGTGTGTGTGTGTGTGTGTATAAAAGTTCATGAATTATAATTAATATCTATCCAGATAAAATATAACTGAACAAAATTAATATTTTACCACCCACAGTATAGGAAATTATATTAAAATGACCGTGTGAGTTTTGATAAAAACGATCAGACTTACTATTATAGTATAGATATACAGCGATATACGTACGTCACCCCCTTTACGTGTTTTGGCCGTTTAAATTTGTTTCCTATTTTTTCCCTTTTTTTTTTTTCATCCAGATCAATTCCCTATTCCCACCAATATTGTATCTTTTTGCGTTCATTAATTTCGGAGTACGACCTTTATTTTATTTTTGTCTATCTCTGTAGATGTAAACATTTTACTTATGCAGCGTCTCGACACTGCGTGGATATCGGTACAATTTTTTTTTTTTTTATATATTCAGCAACGGGATCGTCAAACGCACACATATTAATATCCTACGGGATAAATAATTTCCTGTGAAATACAACACAGTTGTTTTATTCATTCTCCAAGAACGCGTGATCGTCTTAAAGCCCCTGCAAAAAGTCTTTGTCTTCTATACAATAACGTGAATGAAAACTCGATATTAACATTTTAGTTTAATGTCTAAATTGCGAAATACGATTTTGTTTTTACAATTATTGTTCTGGAGAAAATGCTTCTCTTAAATCAAAATTATACGATTTGTTGGTAGTAAAGATATGTGTGTCACGGACTGAGATATAATATTAGTTCGTGGTATATGCTATGTAAGTACTATCTACACGATTTTATGAACCCGTATTTAAACCGTAGTAAAAATAAAAATAATAATAATAACAGATCTCATTTAGTAAAAGTATTTGATTAAGCGTTGTGCATGATTGATAATAGAAACGAGAAACGATACTCCCCTACTTAAAAAAAATAAATAATCATAATCCAAAAGACCGATTTTTGTTGAATACATAAAACCGTGTAATTTTTATTTTTTTAACCGGCAATCCAATTCTTATCAGTCGTTTAGAGACAAACCGTATCTATAATACTGTAATAATTATGATATATAGTATATAATTATATATTTTTTCGCCATTTATAATATTTTGTATATTGATTTAAAATATTGCCATTTCGCCCGACTTACGATAAATAGACATTTTTTTATTCAGTTTATACAATTTATAACGGTTACAGGGTAACCTCATTTTTAAAAACTTTTGTTAAGCTGATAATCGTATAATATATTTTCTCGTGCACTCGTGAATTTACAGTAAAATATGAAATGCATTGATATCAGGTATAAGTAGATAGAGAATAATGAAAATAGTATAATTGTAACATTATTTTGGAAATTTTTCCATTTAAGAAAATCGTCACGATTGTTTCTAAATTATTCACACCTTCAATATTCGTAAAAACTATAAACCTACCTAATTATTATAGGTACCAATACGAACACAATTTTTAAAATATAAAAAGTAATAATAGATAACTATTAAACCCGGTAATGGTGATCGTATACCTATATGCTTATTCTGAAAACCTAACGAAAATCAATTTTTTTTTTTTTTATTATTTATTTATCTTTAGACAAATCGAGTGTATTGGAATAAATGAGTATATAATATCATTATATATTTTATATCGAATGAAAATATTGTGAGTTATGAAATATAATATATATATGTTTGATTTATAATTAATTATTGTTAAAAGTTTAGTCAGTTTGTGCTGTTTTTTTATTATTAATATTATTATTATTATTATTTAATTAATCGACAATATTAATAAAGTCATATTGAAGCACTCCCAATGTATAATTATTAGGTATAAGTATTAATATATGGTAATATTAGTAAATAATAATTGGTGGCAAAACTATAAATTATACATTTAATTTATTATAATAGTATAATACATACCCTGACTAATTTATTAATGCAATATTTTGATTAATATTAACATTATCATGAATTTTTGAAATTCACATTCATTTATTAATTTAGAACAATTCATATTCAACTAAAATCGTATTGAAAATTTATACCGTACATGTATGAGCAATTTTTAAATTATAAATTATGGGAGTATGTAATCAGACAACAGAATGATTTGAGAGAGTGCAGTAAATTTATTTATTGAATGCATGTTATTTCGTTTGTTTTGCAAAATTTTTGTTTTTACAATTATTATTTACATAATATTAAGTTTTTTTTTTCTAATTCAAATTTTATTTATTGATATTATCGATACTACCTTAAATAATAAATATTATTGTTTTTTTTTTATTATTATAACTATAATTATTCATTACTTATTTATTATAGTTAAAATGTATTATAAACTGTTATGTATACAATATATTTATATCCATATATAGCAAATATAATATAATACAATGAAATAATATATACAATTATATAATATTTAATAATATACAAAATATAAATATACATAAATACAATATCAAACACATATCATTCAATAATATACAACAATAAAATGTATATAATTTTTGTGCATATGCATATGTTAAATTATTTTAATAATTATACAGGCAATGTTCAGTGAAAATGTATTAATTTCCAGATTAAGGTAAATTAATTTGATCACAATTGAATTGGCTGCAAAATTACCTCATTGACCAAACGGGCTTCCGAAAAATGTATATAAGAACCAACTATGGAAATATGTCCCTGAAAAATTTAAATTTTTTGATCATCTAGGTTAGGTTAGGTCTATAATTATAATTTATAAATGTCATCTAAACATTCTAGTCATAAATTTTAAACCTGTAAATATTTAGCAAAATTTCCATTCACCATTGTTTAATTCAAAAACTGTACAAAATTGGTAATACATTTTTCTCTTACGCCGGGAGCGTAAAATAATATCACGCGCGCCCGGACACCAAAATACTTTGCGCGCCTTGGCACGGTACCTACACTGACCGCGCCGGCCACGCTATGTAGGTATGTGTGTATAGCACTAAGTATAAGTAGACAGGTTCGTCGAACGAGTCCTGTGAACGCTAGTATGCGGTGTTGTATGTGTGTGTGTGTGTGTGTATGTGGGTGTGTGTACTTATAACTAAAGAAAAACAAGATAACCAAAAGTAATAAAAAAAAAAATATATATAACCGGTGACAGGGCTGGGGTAGTAAATGTTGTTGTTGATATTTTAAGGTACTATTCATGTACACAAATATGGGAAAAATAATTTTGAAATGATATAGTAAATGTAGGTAAATAAGAATCTATGTTGCTGGCGACAATGTATAAAAATAATAATACTAACAATGGTATAACTCACAGCAACACAGAAATATGTATATTGTAGCGCTCAGATGAAGAACTGGAGAGGTTTCTTTTAAGTTGTTGTGTGGCCCATCCTTCATCCGATTGACTATTACTTGCGCCGAGTGATAGATCGGAGGTGTTTTATTTTTGTTAACGATTTGTATCGGGGATACGGTGTTCTTCGTTTTACTTACCTTATAACTTTATTATTCTTGATATTCGTTTTTATTAAAGTGTGTTTAATGCAAATAATATTAATGCGCTGCTAAATGAATACAAATATCAATCGCGATAAGTACGGTGATGGAGACGACGATGGGTTGCGATAGCGTAATTAGATTATAATATAATAACGAGACCGCCGAGGCAGCCGCCGATAAGATCATACGCGTTAAACGCTGACAATATTGCGAAAGGGTAACATTTATTTCGTTTGTTAGTGTGCACGAGACTTTAGTTAAAGGGGAATGGTAAATAAAATAATTCAATACACTGAGTCGCATCTTTGTGTAACCGGCTTAGAAAAATAAACGAAGAAACGTTATAACGGAAATGACTAATTAGCTTAGGGCGCACTATACGCGCATGCGTGTCGATCGATGGCTATCACGGAAATAAGAGAGAACTTTAATAAAACAGTGTTAAAGAAAAATAAAAACAAAACAACGGTATACGATTTATAAATTCAATTCAACACAAATTTAACATAATTGTATTAGATTTCAGTATCAGTATGCATACACAACGATCCAAACAGCGTAACAAATTATAACAAAATTCAAATGACAGTGGGCACAAAGAAATCAAATTCAAAAATTTAAAAATTCGATTCAATTCAATTTAAATAGACTCCAGAAGAAAGAAACCCCATTTAATACAAATAAACACAGAAGGGAAATAACAAAAAAAAGCAAAGAAAAATAGAATTTTGGGCACAAAAATTAGGCGAAGGGTTTGAGAAAATTATAAATTCTATCCTAATTCCAAAACATTTCCTGTCCCGAATAAAAATAAAATATATATGAATTCACCTCTACTTATTACTTGTAGGCAAATAGTACCTATCTACAAGCCGATATTATGACCACCCGTGTATTGTAATTTTATAAATTTCATTGTATAGCTTTAGATTTAAGATATGGAAACATATTTTCTTTTAACATGTGAGACTAATTATGCAAATGAGCTGAGGCAGAACATTGTAAATAAATTTTAAGAACGCGAGCACCGCGGTAATGGGGCAACGTAGGTTTTCAATAAAAATTCGTATGTGTGCATACGTATTGTTTTCGAGAGTCCCGATTTTGTGTGTTTGCTTTTATTTGTAATAAAGAGGTTTTGAATAGCTAGTGCGAAATATCGTTTATTATTGAGTAGCCACAATACGTAGCCTTATTCCGAGTCTGGTCTGTAACCGATTAATTTATGAGTTCTCAAAAATAGGTAGAGGTGTACTATCGAAAGATACGACATAAAATTTTCTTTCAGAAAAAGTGCTACACTTGATATATCGGAGTAAGATTTCTGATAGAAAAATTCCTCTCAAAACATAAATTAAAAACCAATAAACATCATTGTAAAACCAATACATTCCTCGCTATGCTCCGAATCTCGTAATAATTAGGTAGTAGTCAATTTTAATTTTTTATCCGGCCGGGGAAATTTAGCAACATGCCATGGCTGATTCATTTAACTTGCTCCTCCACCACTACAAGATGCACTACCGTATTATCACATTGTTATCATTTATCTCTATCCGCAATAATTGGGACTGAGAGGAATGCGGATAATTCAACAATGATTCAACGATGAAAAAAGTATACAATAAACATACATTTAAATGTTTTATATAATTAAAAACAAAGCTAATGTGTAAATACTAAAATCTAAAAATCTAAAATATTTTATTATTGTACTACTGAACAATATAAGAAATATCAACCAAATATATTATATTATACGTACCTACCTAAGTAAATGTATAACAATAATTGCACACAGTGGCAGGGGGGGTTGTCAGGGAGATATATGACACCCCTTAAATAATTTAAAGTATCTTTTCAAATTATGAAACGATGACTAAAAAAAAGGGGAATTTTCCTGATAAACTATTATCATTATCAATCAGATTTAAACTAATTGTTCCATACACATAGAAGTCGAAATGACAAATTTTTGCGATACTACCTACCTATTACATCGTGTGAACCAGAAAGAAGCTCTTCCACATTAAAAAGAATCGAGACATATCTTTGAAATTCTGTTGGCCAGTTAAGGCTTAATGGTTTATCAGCTCCAAATATTCATCGTGAAGTTGATAATGAAGGTAAGGAAGTAATTAAATCATTTGCAAAACAAAACCCTCCTTGAAAAAATCCTCCATTACGCCACTGATTGCACCCATTACTTAACACCCGTTATTTGTGAGTTTCGTGTGATGTACACATTTTTAGAATATAAGAACTTATTTGTAAAATTAAAATAACAATTATTATAAAAGTTTTTAAGAGAATTTAATGAAATACGGGTACCAGTGTAACGTACCTTCGAACGGCACGAGAGTTTACTGGAGTTGAATATTCGAACGCAGTCTAGGATAGACTTACAAAGGCCTTAATATACTGTTTCCTGTATATTAGTATTGTTTGTATATTTTCAAAATCTAGAGATTATTATTTTTTTTTCTATTTAGCTATTTATTTTTAATGACACAAAACTCGAACCCTATCTTAACTTAATCCTAACTTAATAGGTAGGTACATATTTTGTTGTACAACAAGTTTATTTATCACACTATAACTAGTCATTATTTTTTTTATTTTTAGGAATCGTAAGTCCTATTTTAAAAGCTATAAAGTGATAAAGTGTTATAGATAATAATGTTAAAGATGTAAAGTATAACTTAATTTTACTTTATTCGCTGCAATGCTTCTATCCCATTCTACTATTAAAGTAAATTTTAAAAACTAATAGTTTTATGATTTTATACTTGGCGCCTACATATTATATAGTAACACAATATTTATTATTATATTTCTTTTTTAAAAATATCAACTGGCAGTTTTAACTTTATATTAAAACATTTTCGCTAAATTACTGTTTCAATAATGTTATTATATATGCACCTTTATTATATATAAACATACAAGTTTTTATTTAAGTAAGTAAACACATTAATAGGTACATTGGTAGATATATATTATTCACCATTACCGTCGTTGTTAGTACCAACCTCTGGACCAACAAATTCTTCCTGAAATATTATCATAAACATATATTATTAAATATATATAAAAAAAAGTGTACAATATAAATATAAAAAATTAAAAGTGGTTATAAATGCTGAGATTTCATGACTTTGTTAATTTAGTGTTAATCTTATTGGTTAAAACTGTTTTATTTTAAATTCTGAGTGGAGTGAAGCAGCTTATGGTTTTACAAAGATGTTTATTTTATTTTTATCTGTCCGCAGCTTTTCTACCAGAAATCTTGCTCAGTTTTTTAAGTGTATCACCTTTTCTGTTAAGAAACCAGTATGGGGAATTACTTTAAGGAGATTATTTTTCGATCTTCTCAAGTTTTCTCATCGAATGTAAAAAACCAAAATAAAGTTTAAAAAATATTAAGGCATTCTTTTTTCCTGTGAACAACTTTTTCATAAGCAATTTTGCTCCGCGTTACAATGATCACTTTTTTTGAAAGGAAATATGACTGGGAAGATACTTTAGGAAGGTCGATTTTCTCAAGCGTTTTTTTCCAGCAAATGTGAAAAACCGGGAAAAAACATGGGAAAACCGAGAAAAACGTAGGAAAATCGATATAACATTAAACAAATATTATTAAAGAAAATAAAACCTATTTAATTTTTTTACTACAATATAACATATATACTGTTGATAAAATATCACTTTCAACTGAACCCCACTCAGAATCGTTTTTTCGTTAGCAGTGGTTTATCATTATTTAGAGGCATACATTAAATTACTTATAACAGTTACTGCACCTTTCCCCATTGTCCTAGAACGTCTTTTTATTATTATGCTAGTTTGTTTTATGTATTTATAATTATTTAATTATTATTAATTGAAAAAAATACACGGAAAATCAAAAAACGACTTTCTTTCTCACAAACTAGATTAAAAATTCAACAATACTGTTTTCTTGTCATTTTTAAATTGTACCAAGATTTCTACAAAAATGTATAATCATTAAATCATTACAACGTAAATATTTGTCCATTTGTTCTACGTAGTTTGCTTTTCCTAAGTTTTTTTCCGGGTTTTCCTAATTATTATGAAAACCACTTGGAAAATTAAAAAATTACTTCTTAGAGTACCAAGTAGATAAAATTTTCTTTCACAAAAAGTGCTACACTTGATATATTAGAGAAATATTTCTGATAGAAAAGTTGTTCACAGCTACGCTCCAAATCTAAAGCATGTCTACACAATATTTATTACAAAAAGTTAGTATCTTTAGTTTGGTACTTTGGTAAGAATTTTGAATAAGTCAACAAATTAAAATCGTATTAAACTTATAAAATTGTATTTTTATCATTAGAAAATATTTGTATAGTATAAAAACTATTCTGCATACATACCACAGTACCGTAAAGAATCTCCATTACTTTAAAGAATAATGGATGCTCATTTCCGTGTTTCTGGCATATTAGCTCAATTGCACACAGTTTACTAAGATAAAAATCGCGTTCTTTTTCCAGATTTTTAACTACAATTCTTAAATTATTCATCTATAATAAGACAAATTTATAGGAGTATCATTAAATTATTGATATTAAATTAAAATCTTTAGGTATACAGAGTGATATTTTTTATCATGAGCAAATAATTATCTCGGAACATTCCAAGTAAATTTGATTTCTGTTATTTTTAATCGTTGTGGAATCGTTTAGGCCTAAAAATATTTCCTATTCAAATATGTATCTAAAGAAGGTTTCCTATTTCAAAAACTACTTATTTAAGGTATATAAAGTAAAGGAAAAATTAAAATGGTTTTAAAATAAAGCTTAAACGATTCCATAATAATTAAAAATAACAGAAATTAAATTCACTTAAAATCCTCCGAAATAATTGCCGGTTCATGATAAAAAAAAATCGCTCAGTATTATGTTTACCTGTTTAGTAAGTTGAGGAATATTATGATCGCCCTTATTATCAGCAAGCACTGTTGGTTTTGATAAAGATACATGATCTGCCACTAAAAAAAAATTTGATTTAACAGAATGATTGTAAATATATTTTTAAAAATACATCATAAGATAATGTGGACGGATACAGCTACTGTTATTGATAATTTAATGTATGCCAGTAAGCAACGATAAACCATTGCTTACAAAACAACGATTCTGAGCGAAGTTCAGTTGATAGTGATGCTTTGTTAGCAACATATATGTTATTTTATGGTAAAATAATTAAATAGACCATATATGTTTTCTTAAATAATATTTTCACGGTTTTTCTACGTTTCTCCGAGTTTTCCCATGTTTTATCCCGGTTTTTTACATTTGCTGGGAAAATTCTTGGGAAAATTGAAAAAGTACCTCACTAATGAAATTCCTTTTTAGAAACATTCTTAAAATATAAATTGGAGCAAAATTGCTGGTAGAGAAGTTGTGTACAGTAAATAAAACGTAATATTTCAGTAATATATTTTGTACATTTTCCCGGTTTATAAATGTGATGAGTAAACTACTGAGAAAATCAAAAATTACCTACCCAAAGTACCTCACTAGTGGAATTTTCTTTTCAAAATATTGCTATCATTAAGTTGAAGAAAAATTTCTCATAGAAAAGTTGTGCGCAGAAACAAAAAAATATATTTTAACTTATACCTACATTTCACACGAACATCTTATTCAAAAATTATTTTACAAGAAAAATAAAAAGTTGTACAAATAAATAAAATATAAAATATTAAAATAGGACTTCTGTATTTTAAATATCATTTTATTGAAGATATTGAAAGGTGGTTTTTGCCAATAGCAAGGCGTAAATTATAGAATAGTCAAATTTGCATTTAATGTTAAAGTGGGTCTCCTCTACTGTAGAAGTTCCGTTCCTACATAAATTCTTCGACTCCGCATATTATTTTTGCACCTACGAGTATATTATTATACCTAACTTAAAATTCACAGAAGACGAAGTCAAAAGTTTTATGATGCTCTGAAGGAATTAAAAACTGTAAATGATCAACAACAAGTGATTTGTATCGATTTCATGATTAATATACTCGTATCTTTACCTGTAATATCTGTGCAAGATTTATTTTATTTCAAATAACTTACATTTAGCATCTTTAGAGTTCATGATATTAAATCTGAGAAAATGATCTGCTTCACTTCTGTAGCATAAACAATTGTGTTAAATTAAATTGTTTTTAAATGCTAAACTATATATTACTATAGACACAATCCACTCTCACTTCAATAAATATAAATAATATATTTTTTGGTAACCTAGGTGATTTTTGGCTTCCCCTGTAAAATTAAAAAAATGCAGAAATCCCCATCTAACATTTAACAATTCAAATATTATAGACAATTATTTTGAAAAATATTTCAAAAAAAGTTTTCAAAATTTTAAAATATAATATAGTACATATAATAAAAATATATTGTAATAATATAATTTGTATAAATAATAAGAAATATTTCAAATTTTTATTTAAAAGTATATCAATAGTAAAATGCAGTGATACAAAAACATAAAAATAATCGTTTTTTGAATGTTGTAAATTAATTCATTAAAAATTGGATACATTACTTCTATGTTGAAAATATATTATACTATTAAATAACAAAATTATTTAAATTTAGAACCATTTAATCAATAACCATTTTGATGTTCTTGGACACAAAATAGTACATATTAATTGTTACGAGCCTAATTTGTTTTGATTTTTCAACTAGTGGCAATTTAATACAAGCCATTAATAATCTGGAAGATTAAGTTTCTCGGCTGCACTTCCGGTTTTGTGACGTTCCGGTCCGAGGCATGACCTCCAGGTCAGTCCGTACTAGCCGTGAAGCTACCAGTTTGGATCCCACTGGTCAGGTCTTCTCTAGCCAACGGTAAGGCCATGATCACTATCAGACCACTTATCTGATTTGGTTCTGATAACCTTTAACATTTGAACCCCAACCGATATGGTGATTAGTCTCCCGGGAAGACTTAACCGTCACCGATAGATTTTGCCTAGTCAGCATATGACATTAACCAATTTCGTCATTCCCACGAAAGCCATTTCGAAACCAAACCCAGACAGGAACGCCAAATTTTACACTGACGCGCCTGCCCACGTCATCCCGAAGTACCAGTTTTAGACGCCCACTGGTTTAGCGTTTCGGTAGTTGACATACCTCCCAGCTATTTATTGTTCGTAGGACTATGTGGGCTTGCAGTGGGATAACAGAAAGGATCGGATTGTTGAGTCAACCAAGTAAAAATATCAAATATGTGGGTGAAAAAATCATAAGTCAGATGATTGTAAATACAAAGATTACTCTTGTAATATATGTCGTAATATAGGTTATTTAGCCTCTATGAATAAAAATAAATAAAATAATACCTTTAGCAAAAAAAAGAAAACTTTTAATACACATTATGTTGAAAATAGTGAATGCTAGGATAATGACAATATTTTTTTAAGTGTATTTGACAGTTTCAATTTAGTATCTAAGTCTAATACTGAAACATTAGAACTTTTTGAAGTAAATATTTTATTTAACCATATAAATATTTAATTCCAAATAGATACTAGAAGTCTTCATTCTTTTGTAAATTAAAATTTTTATTAAGAACATTTTGGTCACTTTAAATTAAGTAAACATGACATTCTATTAAAAGCTCGTGTTGGAAAACATTTTAGGCCGTTGGGCAAACATAACTTAAATTTTGAATTTAATTCTAATAAAGGCCAAATTGCCCTTAGCATTGTTAAAGATGAAGGCCCTCCTTTGATTGGAAGAAAAGATTTAAACAAACTTAAATAATTATCTTGTCACATAAAACACCTGACATTTCTCTCCACTTTATCTAATCAAATATAATCCTATGTTTCATATTCTTGTCAACATCATCATTTTTTTGTATACATATCCTAGGTACTTAAAATTCTCAACCTTGCTCATTATATCACCCATTATTATCATTAGCCTTCTTTTTTTCCCTCTAAACTCATACTTTATATAAGTACTCTGTTTTAATTTTACTTATCCTTTAGAATCTAAATGCCCCATTTTTCATTTCTATAAAAAAGTATTCCGCTGTCCACTTTTCGTTGAATATTCTTCATTCATCTGTTACTTTTCTTTTCTTATTGAACGACATTTCGCTATTTGATTATTAGTTTATTATACAAATCAAATTTATAAAATTGTTATTGGTTGGACACCCCTGCTTTAGATAAACGTGTCTCATTCTTTCAAGTGCTGCTCTTAATTCCTCAAACCTATTGCTAACTATTTCCAATTTATTTCCTATTAAATCTTTATCATCTGCAAACACTATGCAATATAGTACCTCCTCTCGCCTGTTGTTTCTGATGTCTGAGATGGGACCATCTACCAAAGTCTTTGCTTAAAATTCCTTATAACGTTTGATAGAATTTTGCACTGACTGTTGACCTAACACAACTCTTTGTCACCTCTTACAACAGATAGAGGTACCCTGGAATTATTCTAATCCCCTCTCACAAGAAATACCATACAATCAATTAATGATACAATAATAAAACATAAATACAAAACACTAAAAGATTATAAAAGATGTTTAATAATATTTAAATAATAATACTTATATGGAGTAGCTAATTAAGAATTAAATATACTAAATATATATTTTTTTCGACCTAAAGCTTTATCAAATATACAATAGTTTGTATAAATTACTGATAATGAAAAATATGATAATCTTAGACTACTTGAATATGCTCAGATAGCAAATAACTTATCATCTATAATATAAACAAAAAAATTATTATAAAATATATTACAATGTTGCAATAAATATAATAATTATACTACAACATTAGATTGC